AATAGTTAAATTCTTTCGAATAAGTATCTTTATATTAAATACTATGTATAATATTTTAGTCTTTTTATTCCAAAGAGCTAATAACAGGAGGTAAATATAAATCCATTCTGGACAAATAAATATATCTTCGAGAATCATCCCAAACTAAATTAAATGTATATTTTTGACATTTTTCCGATTCAAAAAAAGGTACATTTACACTTTTAAAAGGATAATTAGCATTAAAGTTATTAATAAAAATAGTATTTTAATCATAATCAGCACTCGTAATAGTATATAAAAGCTATAAAGGAAATATTTGTTAGTCCAAAATGTCGTTATAATATACCAAAATCATATTATCGGCATCTTAACTAACAACAAACATAATAATAAATGCTTTAGCATCTTTTCTAAAGTTAAAAATGGGAATTATTTATATATGCTCTACTACAAAATTCATATTTTCTTATATTAATTCAATAGCTTTTACTTCTTTTTTCATTGCAAAAATCCAGTCTTTTTCTTAGTCTTTTTAAGAATATTTATGATTTACATTTACTTTAAAAGAAATAAAAATTTGACTTACTTCTTCCGTTTTTGTACATATTAAAATATAAAAAAATACTGTAGAAACAGTAGAGGATGATATTTTTGATTAAAAAATTGAATCACAATATTTTATTTTTGTTTTAGGATTTCCTTATATTATTACGTCTGAAAATTTTATCTTATATATTATTTAAAAAGGTTACTTCATATTTTAATTTAATACTTATATATATTAATTTGACAAAACTACTAATTAATACTCATTTATTACTCTAGAAGTTATTATATCTTCCATTTCTAGTACATTTTCTCTCTAAAATTATATATAAGGAATTATTTATATACCTTAACCATTTTATTTTTTTATAGTATTATTATTATTCGTTTCTCCAAATTCAAAAATAGTATATTTTTCAGCAGGTCCATAAAATAAGTCAACTGGAAACTCCAATATTTTATCTTTTTACGAATTATTTTCATATTCATTTTTTGCAGAAATATCATAAATAACATCATTTATTTTTCTTTATTCTAATTAAGTATCAAAATTTACAAATACTCCTTCTAATTTTATTTACAAATATTAAAAATTGAACCCTAATTTGTTTAAACCTGTTTCTACTTTTATATAATCCACCAAATTTTCTCCATCACTTTTAAAATTTTTTACTAAACTTTCATTAGTTTTATTAAAACTCGTTAATTATTATTATTATTATTATTATTATTATTATTATTATTATTATTATTATATATTTTTTATTTCAATTAAAGGATAGAACGTACACTCTAATTATAAATTTTTATCCTATAATTTACTATATAATGAGCATGAATATCCTTCTTATATTGATGTATATTATGGTACAAGCTCTATTTCTTCAAAATTTTCTCCATTTTCTATTTCACGAATATAAAATAATTAATTTATAGTTTCTGCATTAATCTAGTAAGTAAATACATGTTCTTTTTGATTGTCTTTTGGTGAAACTTAAAAGATAAAAAAAAAAAATACCATTAAAAATATTTAATAAATTTTAAAATACATGTTTTAATAAAAATCATATTATTATGAATTTAAAAAGGTTGATTCGTTGAAATAATTTACCCAAATAATTCATATTTTTTTAAATAAATAGGTTGAATCAAATCAATCAAGAGAAAATCAAAAATTTAATTGCATCCGATATCAATAAGAAGCATCCTGCATTATTAAACATCATCATTTCTCCAAATTTTAATTATAAAGTCTTACATTGAATTGTCTTAAGTATTTTGAAAAAGATTTTCTTTAATAAATATTTTACTTTATATTATTTCAAAAGTAAATAAGTTTAATTTTAATACAATAATTTCATATTTCCTAATTCCAAAAAGAATGCCTTCATCCAAAAATGAAACATCAAAATAATTAAAATAATAATTTTATAAATCCTTAAATAAAAAACTTTTTTTAATTAATTATAATTATTCAACTAAAATTATATCATTTTTCCTTCATTTTAAATTAAATATATACCTACATACTAATTTTAGGTATTAGGAATTTTATAAAAATTTAAAAATAATATTTAAGTGCTTTATTTTAATCCAAAAAAAGTTTAACAGCTTATTTTTTATAAAAATTTAATTTTGATTTTAAATGAATTTTTTTTATTATTATCTTTCATATTAATTTAAAACTTATAAAAATATAAAAAATTAACTTCATTTTATAATAAAATATATTCTCCATCAAAATAAAGTTTATATTTTTCATTTTCGTTTAATTATTAATAATTATCATTTAATTTTTCACATAAATTTTGCAATATATGGCAAACATTAAGACCTAAGTAAGTTACTTCATCTATTTTTCGCATGTAAAAAATATAATAATAAAAAGTTGCTTAAAAAACCTTAATTATTTTATTATAATCTTCTACTAAAATACTTTGAATTTATGAATTTCGAACTTAAAAAGGTGAATTAACTTAAGTAATATATTATAAAGAACAACCGAAAAACCAGTTTTTAATTTATATTGAAGGAAATTAATTTGTAAAATTTTATTATATTACATTACCAAATTTACTCTGTATAAAAATATTAAATTTAGGAACCAAAACAATTTTTATATTAATATTTTATTTTCCAATAATATTTTTATTCTTTTGTTAAGGTAAAAAAAAAAATTTATATCGCATTAATACATATTGTCTAACTTTTAACTTTCAATTATCATTGTAAATTAACTTTTAAATAAAAATGTAGAAAATTCGAGGTGATTTTTTTAAAAGGTAAATAGTATGATTCTTTGTCTTAAATTACTATAAAATAAACCAGAAATACTATAATGAAAAATTTTTTAATTTTATAGATCAATTTAAATATAAAATTAAATTGCTTAAGAATTTCTATTATATAAATAAATAAATAAATAAATAAATAAATAAATAAATAATTTATTTAAACAATAAGAAAAAAATATTTACATTTATTATGAAGTAGATTAATCTATTAATTTTTTATTTATTACTAATATTTTAGTATAATTTTTATCTTTTAATTTATAAAGTATATAATATTTATACTCATCTTGTTCATATTTAACATATGAAATATTTAAATTATTATCATATTTTTTATTTTCTATATTTCTTTAATTTTTATTTTGAATTTCTTCAACTTTTTTAATAATTTTTTTCATATTTTTTATTTATGATGGAACATTTTTTATATAATTTTCTTTTATAGAATTTTAAATGATTTCATAAATAATTAAATATTTTTCAGTATTTATTTATATTTGGTTATTAATTTTATCTTACAAACTATAATTATTTCTTATATTTTTTATATATTTCATTTTATAATAATTTTGTTTGGCAAAATATTTATATTATGATTTTTTTATATATTTTCCTTTGTTAATCTCATATATATATAAACCTTAATCAAAATCTAGTAAAATAAGAGTTTTATGATCAATTTATTTCACTCCTTGTAATTTTAAGTTTTCTTCTTTCAATACTTATAATAACTTTCCATTATTTATATCAAAAACCTAAACAAAATTAGAAGATATAGAGTTAAATACACCTAAATTATTATATTTGCAAATTCTATAATAAAGGTTATTGAATAGATCAGTTTTTTTTTTGCAGAAATAATCTTTTTATTCTTTATTTTATTACTCTAAAATTATTCTTCTGTAATTGATATTTTTTAAATTTATTCCATTTTTATTATAAGTATTAACTTATTCAAAAATCAATAATTATATTTAATTTTTTTCTTATTAAATGCATTCAAAAAGAAAATTTTAATTTTAAAATTTAATTAAGTTTTCTATTTTTTAACATTCTTCTTTAAAGTCCTTTATTTCTATATTTCTTAAATTTTAATTTTACAAATCTAGTTCGTCAATAAATGATATTAATTAATGACTTCCTATAATTCCGATTACATTTACTTTTAATACTTATTCATTTGTAAAAGTAGCTATTTCTTTTAATGCCGAATTTATTTATAAATCATTATACTTTTTTATTTTTTCATATTGATTTAAAGTTATATCTAATAAATTAGAAGGACAATTTGTAGTATATTTTTCATAGGTATAATCTAATAAATAATCATCTAAATCTAATTTTATTTATTCATATTCACTTATATGATATGTTTCATTTAGTTATGAATTAGAAAAATAAATTATTAAAGTTATAAATATAAAAAATTATGTTATTTACATTTTTTTTTCTTTTATATTTTGAATAGTTTTGTTTTTTATTTTAAATTTTATTAAAAATGTGATATTTCAAAAATAATTATATTTATAATAATATATATTTATAAATAATATTTATTGTTATAATAATTAAATTAGAATAAAACTATCTTATTTTTTTTAATTTAAAATGATAAATATAAAATTAAAAATATATTGATAAAAATAAAAATATAAATATAAAAATATATAAATATATAAAAATATATTTATATATATTTTTACATATATATTTTTTATATTTATATATAATTTTTTTATTCTTAATCATGTTTAAACGCTTTCATTACTTGTATACTATTATTTATCACATGCTTAATTTTAATTTAATTCTTAATCAACTTCATTTTATTAATTTTTTTTTTAGATTTATTATTTAATCATATATGTATGACTATTTTATTTTCTTCGTGAATTACTATCATTTATATTTCTTGGTATCGGTAGATAAGATTTAAAATTTTTAAAACTTAATTTGTCTACAAGCACTTTTTTTACATTAATTTAGTCTTATAATTCATCTATATTACTTGTTTTTTATATATCTTTATTTATGTCATCAATATATTTAGTCTTTGATTATTTTATTTTACCCTTTTCTTAATTATTGGCTTCTATCATTTTTTTTTCTGCTATTTTTGAATCTATATATGTATATAATATTTAATTTAAAAAAAATTAATTTATATATATACATAACCTAATTCTCCAATACTAAGTAATGAAGGAATTAATCCATCAATATTAATTCCTCCAAAAACAATAAATTTCGTATCAAAAATGCAAGCTGAATGGCTAGATCTACTAATTGCAGGATAAGAATTACTTGTAACTTTAATCCAATTTAAATCATCTACATTTAATAAATGCATATCATTATAAAATACTTAAGAATCATTGTCATTTTACCCTCCATAAATAATCAAAAAGTTATAATGTTAACTGAAATTTTAAGAATGTGAATGTCTAGGTTTTGGTAAAACGCCTTTAGTTTCTATTTTAATCCATTATAAAGGTTTACAATCTGTTTTTAATATTTTTAGATCTCCAAGAATATCCCCTTTATTATTTCTACCACCAAAAGCATATAAACCTTCATATTAAATCTTTTTTTTTTAAACAATATAAATTTTATAATATTACATTAGCAGCCCATTTACTATATTTAATATCGTTCATTTTATATAAATTTATTTTTTCACATCTTTAACTATGATAAACAGGTGTAAATTAATGGTAACATATATCATATTCAACTTACGTTAATGCTTCAACCCATACTTATGTAACTAAAAAAATTTGAAAATATTAAAAGAAAAAAATTTGCTTTTTTTACCTAAGTCTAATATCCATAAATCTTTTAAAGTTTATTCTTTGTTATTAATACCTCCATGTATTAGCATATTTCTTCCAATAATTGCTGATGCATGGTTTCTTCTTTATTATAAAGGACCACCTTAACAATTGATAAGCTTCCATGTTAAAGTATCAATATTAAGGAAGTAAACATCCTACAAAAGTTCTCTTGTTTTTAAAACTGTTTAGTTCGATCTTTATTATCCTCCGAAAATAATTATGTTTCTTCTATAAATATTACAACTATGCCCATATCTTGCAGAAGGAATATTACCTTAAACTTATTTTAATATTTACCATTTGAAATTAGCTATTTTTAAATAAAAATAAATTAATAAATTATTATTTAATTACTTAAATCTAATTCAGCTATTTAATTATAAAGCTCTTTTCCAATACCACCGAATAAATATGCATGTTTTCCTTCTGTTACAAGAGATTATCCTTCTCTGGCATCAGGTTTCCAGTTACATTAATTAGGTTATAAATACCAATAAATTGAATAATCTCCTTTAATTTTTTTATAAATTTTAAACTTAGAATTGCTTGCATTATCATTAATACTATTTCCAATAATAGAGTTTTAATCATCATTATCATCTTCTTCTGTTTCAACAATATTTGAGCTTTAAACTGTTTATTTACTAATTTCAGTAAGCGATTTTTTATTAAGAAACTTTTTATAAATAGGATAGCTTTTAATTTTAGGCATTTTTTGCCTTTCTTCTAATTAAATACAAAAATTTTTTATTTAGTCGTATGTAGATTTTGATTAAATCATTAAATTTTTATTTATTTATTTTTAAATATCCTTATTATGAATTAATGAAAGCCCTATTTTATCTTTATCTGCATTTTTATTTTCTGCTTAACTTAATACTTTTTAATTTAATATTTAGCTTCCTTAATTAAATTCTTAGAAATTAAAACCTTTAAATTCAGGATCAGTCTACGATAATTTCAAAAATTCTTTTCTATTAAGCTCTTTTATATTTTTAAAAGTTTAAAATTATAATTGCTACTATTATTATTATTATTATTATTATTATTATTATTATTTTTTTATTTATATTATTATTTTTGTATATTTACTAGATTTTTATTATATTTATCCATAGCTAAAATTGGTATATGTATTGACATATCTTTGCTTTAATTGTCATAATCATTTTGAGATAGAAGTATTTTATACTAATCTATTGAGAGCTAACTAATTGGAAAAATACTATTCGAAAAAGCTTAGCCATATAAATTTTTACAACTTAAGGAGTTATTTTTATTTAACATTAGACTTGAATTATTTGAAGATTTCGTAAAACGCGGCGATAAATTGTATATTTTATTGTAATGTCTCGAATTCGTTTTTATAATTACTATTTTTAATAATTAAATAAATTTTTCTAAGTTATTATAATTTGATTTGATAATTAAAATATATATGTTTTGTTAAAACTTCATTTTACCTGGCAATTATACATCTTTTTTATGATTTCTGTATTCTTGCTTCATTTAATTTTGTTAATTTTAATTTTTAATTTGTGATTTTTATTTTATTTAATTTTTTTACAAATAAAAAATAAAAATAAAATAATTTTCATTAATTATTAACACAAATATATATACATATATTATTGATTTTTTTTTATTATTAATTTATTTATAATACAATAATAATGAAATCAAAATTTATATTAAGATAATCTTATCATAAAGAATTAAAAGACTTAAATATTATAATTTTTATATTATTTTGAATTAGGAATTCTAATGGCGTTTAGAAAATTTTAATTTATTTTTAATTATAATTGTTATTTATTTTTTAATAGATATAAATAATTCTTATTAATATGTTTAAATGTTTTAATTTTTTTAAATAATATTTATTTTTATATTAAAAATAATATAATAAATTCAAGGATATTAATTGTAAACTTAAACTTAAATTTTAGTAATTTTCATAAATATTAATAATAATTTGTTTTATAAATAATATTTATTTTAAATTAAAATACAGAAATACTTAAAATTAAAAATCTAAACTAAAAAACTAAATTTTTAAAAAATCAAATAAACAATTTGTGACATTAGAAATCCTTAAATTCCGTATTAAAACAACAATAACTTTAAATAATTAATATAAATCATTTATTTATATTAATTTAATTGTATTAGTACAATTAAATATTTATTTGTTAATATTGTATTTATTTAATTTTATTTTATTGTAATTTTTTTTATTATTATTATTAAAATTAATTATGAATACTATAAAACTTTTGCATAAATATTTATAGTTTAAAATAAATTATTATAATTTTTATATAAAAAAATAATTCATATTTATAGGTTATTAATTTAAAGCTTATTATATACAACTCGAATAATATAAATTATTATTTTAGAATAACTAGAAAAATAATTAGTGTAATCAATATATAAAATTCAACATTTGAACTAAAAAATTTAGATTTAAAAAAATATGCAAGTAAATACAAACTTTTTCATTAATTATTAACTATGATATAAACATTAAATAAAATAAATTTACAATATTGTTTAAAAATTTTCAAAACTCTATATTTATTGGAAAATACAGATAATTAAATCATTCCAAATAAATTAAAAATATTTTTAAAATAAAAAAATATATTATTTAAAAATTATATATAATAATATAAAAATAATTATATTTAAATGAGTAATTATCTAAATAACGATAATGATGAAGAAGATTGCACAATATACATAGAAGAACTAAAATCAGATGATCCTAATCTAAAAATAAATGCAGTAACTAAAATTATATAAATAGCCAAAATTTTAGGTATTTAAATATTTAAAATTATAATTTGAAACTAATAATTATTTAAAAAAGGATAAAATCGTGTAAGAGAAGAATTAATACCTTATCTTATAGAAATAATAGAAGAGTTAGATAACGAAGAAGATTTTTTAACAAGTTTATGCGAACAAATAGTACAATTAAATGATTTTATAGGAGGTAAAGCCTATTCACATTTATTAATAGCCCCTTTAGAACTTTTAGCATCAATGGAGGAGAATATAATTCGTTAGAAAGCAGTAAATTCATTAATATAAATTTCAAATAATTAAGAAAGTTAATTTTTCTCCACACATTTCTTTTCTATGATTAAATAATTAGCAGGATGGGACAATTATCCATCTCGAATATCAGCTTGCAGTTTAATTGGAGCAACATATTTCTAATTTTAAGAAGCTTAAAGAGAAGATTTAATGAATTCCTTCGAAAAATTATGTAAAGATGATACTCCGATGGTAAGAAGAACAGCATCTTAGAATATTGGTAAAAAGTTAAAAAAAATATAGTATATGTAGTTTAATAAAAAAAATATAATTTAAAAAAAAAGGCATATTAGCAGAAGAAAAGTAACAAACACAATTATTTTTCAAAGAAAAATTATTACCAATGTGGCTTAATTTATTAAAAGATAATGTTGATTCTGTTAAAGTAAAATCAATAGAAATATCTCCTAAGCTTATTACACGTTTATCTAAATCTGATGTAGCAGAAAAATTTGTAAAAAACATTAAAGAAATATTAACAGCCAAAGGAAAAAGCTGGCGAATAAGATATGCTATAGCAGAAATAATTTGTGATCTCATCTTAAATGTAGAAAATGATTGTATATAAAAAGAAATACTTCCAATATACGAAATTCTATTAAAAGATTCAGAGCATGAGGTTCGTTCTATAACTTTAATAAAGGTTCCTGAATTATGTTAGCATTTACCAAGTTCAATTTTAACCACAAACTTGCTTCCAGTATTGAACGGTTTAGTATAAGATACATCTTAACATGTTAGAAGTTCACTTGGGGAGATAATTTGTAAAATTGCGAATTTTTTCGAATAAAATAGCGTTATAAGTGGAATAATTCCTATAGTTGAAAGTCTTCTTAAAGATGAAACTTTAGATGTAAGATTAAGTTTAATAAACAATATTTAACTAATAAACTAATATATTGGAAATGAAAATGTAAAAAAATATATTTTACCTGCTTTTTAATCAATCTAAAATGATAAATAATGGCGATTTAGGCTTGTTTTTGTAGAATTTATTCCTAATTTTTTATAATAAATAGGATTCGAAGAATTTAAAGAATAGTTTTTGGAATTTGTTAAGATATTTGCCTTTGATCATTACTCAGCTATCCGTGAATAAGTTTTTGCTAATTTTTTGGTCATTTCTAAGACATTAGGATATCCTGCAATTAAAAATATATTTTTTGATCTTGTTAACTAACTTATTAAATCCAATAATTATATTTATAGAGTTACAGCAACTAAAAGTATTGGACATTTGATTGATGTTATACCTAAAAATGATTTAAATGAAATATTTGAAATTCTTTAAAATAACCTTTTTGATGATAAAGTACCTAATGTAAAAATTAACCTCCTCAAGCTTTATAACTCTATTTAAGAAAAGCTTAACCCTTCAGTAAGAAATAAATTTATTTAAAAAACTAAAATCTTATTAAAAGATAACGATGCTGATTTAAGTTATTTTGCTTCTTTAATTTGATTAATTTTTTTTATATTTTCTATTTTTTTATTTTTTATAATTAAAAAATTACATATTTTTTTATTAAATAATATATTTTTTTTATTAAAAATGAAAAAATATTTTTTTTAAATATAAATTAAAAAAATGAATTAAATTATTTTTATCTTATATATTTTAAATATATAATAAGCATTTAATTTTGTACATATTCTAAGATAAATAAAACGTTTTGAAAATTTAGAATTGTAAATGGAAAAATCACTTACTTAAAAATAAAATTAATAAATTAATATAGAAACCTTTATTAAAAATGATATATAATATAATTATTATGAATATAATAATTCAAAAAACAATTAAATATTTTAATTTGAAGATTTTTGTAGAAAAGGAAGTATTTTCTAACTTTAATAAAACCATTTATTTGGATTAAATATAAATAACATGCAAGATAATATTAAAATATTCGGTTTTTAAAATTGGGATAGAAATTATAAAAATATAAAAAAATTAAATTTTATAAGATTAAACTAATAAAATAAATAAGAATGCTAAGCTTAATTTATTTTAAAAAATATAATAATTAAAAATACGAAAATATTACCTTCTTCATCAAATATATAATCATAATTAAATATAAATACTGAATTTATATATCTACCAATATATTTATTGGAGTTAATGATAGAAAAATAATTAAAAGGGTGTAAAATATCATAAGATGAAGCTTAAATATTAATATGTAATAAAATATACTTAAGTTTAGAAAATACAATAAGCTTCATATTTTAAAGTAATATAACTATAAAAATAGAATTAAGAAGTTTAATTAAATATATGAATATAGAAAACTCCTATATTTTCAATATTTCAGTTTCTAAAAATAATTAAGTTGTTTTAGGTGAATCTTTTTTTTATTAAAAATATCTTATTTTTGATTTAGATTCTTATTAAATTGGAATTTTTAATTTATAAGAAGTAAATTTTTTAAAAAATCCTTAGACCATTTAAATGGTTAATAGAAATGCCTTTATTCTTATATTTATTTTCTTAATTGTATTTTTTTCATGTTAGAAAATATTAGATAAATTTTATAATATTAAAAATTTAATTTTTTGCAAAAAAAAATAATAAATTTTAGTTTTTGATGAAGAAAAATAATTAATAATACAAAATATTTGAAATATTATTTATATTTAAATGATTTTTTTTAAGTATATATAAAACATTAAATAAACTTTATTAATATAAATACATTATAATTATATGAATGAATAATTAATTATTAAAAATATTTAAAGATTTAAATTTTAATTTTTAAAATTAATTCATAAGTTTTTAATATTTAATTATATATATATAATTTTTAAATAGAATATTTACACTTTTATTTAACAAATATAAAAATTATTATTTGCCTCAGTTAATAAAAAGAAAAAAAATAATTTAATAAAAATTGCAGAATGAAAAATTCTGAATTGTATATAATTCCTTCAAAATTATTTTGAACAAATATTTTTGCTATAATTCTCTTCTTTTCTTAAATAAATTGAAAAGAAAAAAACTCGTTTTTCATTTTAAAAATTTCAATAAAAAATAAACTGAAAAAATTTAATACTCTTATAAAAATAAAATAAATTGAAAGGAGTTTTTTATAAAAAAATAAATTTTAGAGAAGAATGAATGAGGAGTAATATTGCCCAAGATTTTACAGTATTTAAAAATTTATATAATTAAAATATTAAAAAATGTATCGAAGGGCCCGCTTAGCTCAGTCGGTAGAGCGCAAGACTCTTAATCTTGTGGTCAGGGGTTCGAGCCCCCTAGCAGGCTTCTTTTTTTGTAATTAATATTAATGAATAATAAATGCCATAATTATATAATAATTAAAAAAGTATCAATAAGTAAAACAATAATAATAAAAAATTATTTTGATATTTATTTTAATTTTGAATACAAATACATATTTTAGATAATACTAGTATATTGTAAATTCTTATCAAATTATAATATTAAATAAATAATATTCATATAATTAATATACGTTATTTTGAAAAAAATTAAATAAAGTCTTTTTTAATTAATTCGAAAATAAAATATATAGACATTATTTTAAGTAGAAAGGGGAAGGAATGTTTCAATAAATGAAATTATATTTAAAATAAATTAAATAATAAAGTTAAAAAGAAAAAGCAAATAAATTTAAAATATTTTTTAAATAAAAATCTAATAACAATAATCATTTATTATTATAACAAATATTTTTATTTTATTTGTTTTAAAAAATTATAAAACTTTCTTTTTCTTTTAATTTATATATACTCAAATATCTTTTTTTATTTCTTTGTGCTTTCTGATCTTTTTTCTTTTTTCTCTTTTCTGCTTCTTCTCTTTTTATCATGTCCTCCCCATTCTTCTTCATCTTCTACGACTTCTATTTCACCTTCTTCTTCATATTTATTTCCTCCTTGAGGAGCAGAATCATTATTTTTCTTTTGTTTTTTTTCTTTTTTTTCCTTCTTTTCTTTCTTAATTTTTCTATCTTTGTTTCCATCATAATAATCTTTACTTCTTGATCTACTTTTAGATTTAGTTTTGGAATATCTTTTTTTTTTGTGCTTATCAATTTTTTTCTCTCTCACACTGTCATCATAACTATCTCTTGAACGGCTTCTGCTTTGAATTTGGCTTAGACTTCTTTTGTAATCATTATCTGGAGATTTTCCTTTACGGGTTATTCCTATTTTTTTTTTATTAGTTTATTTTTTTATTTTAAAAATTTTAAAATTTAAAGTGTTTGTTTATAATATAATATATAATTTACTTTTTAAAATTAATTAATATTTTTTAAAATTATAATTTTTTTTTTAATTTTTTTAATGAATTATTAAAAAATATTTAATCAAATTATTTTATTTAAAAATATATGAAAGATGATAAAGATATTAATATAATTATTTATTATTTTCCAATAATAACTAAAAATCTCTTTGAAACAAACAATAAAAGGCAAAGAAGTATTTTACAGAAAAAAAAAATATATTAAAATTTTATATAATTTAATATAATCATATATATTTATATATAAAAAATTATTATTACCTAACCCACCTCCGAGCCTCATTGGTCTGAATCTGAGTATGGTTCTTCCTCTTTCAATATCAACACCAATTCTTCTTCCATCAATTTTTTTTTCATGTGCATTTTTATATGCTTAAATAAAATCTGCGGTTCTTTCGAATTCAATAATACCATAACCTCTATGCTTTTGGTTAAGATTTCTTATAATTCTGCATGATTTAATAGGTCCATACATTTTAAAATGCTCTTTTATTTTCTATTCATTTGCATTATAAGAAATATTATTCAAAACTAATGTTTTATATGGATCACTAGTAATTTTTGAATCTTCAAAAGGATTCCATTCCATTAAATTTTGCTTTATTAATTACTTTTGTTTTTGCCTTTTTTCTTATTTTTCCCTTTTTATTTTTTCACGTGGTGTCTCTACTTTTGCTAAAGGTGGAGGAGGTCCTCTTTCGAATTTACTCTTCATGTAGTCTAGTAATCCATTTGAACTTAAAGGATCTAAATTTCTACATTTAAGCTTTGGCTTTCCTTTTACAAATCCTATATTTCTCTCCTTAAAGTAAATTTAGATATCTGGGGGAAAAAATACCTTTTATGGCCTCAACATTTATATTTGTGGATTTAAAAATTAAGAAGAATTAATTTACATCATAGGTGGAGGCATTGTCATGCCTAAAGGACCTCCCATCCCAACGGGTGGCTGTCCAGGAGTAGGAAATCCAGGCGGAAAATTCATTGGAGGAGGCATTCCAGGTATTTATTGAATCTAATGAGGAGGAATTTAACCCATTTATGGTGGTGGCATTTAAGATAACTAAGACAGCTAGGGAGGCATTGAATGCATTTAAGGTATTTAAGATATTTAAGGCATTTATGTCATTTAAGGAGGAGGTGGGAATTATGTAGACATATTTATTTATATTTTTTTATTTTTTGTTTTTCTTTTTTCTTATATTATATATATTTTTTTAATTAAATTTTTGATTTCTTTTCATAATATATTGTTGTATTTAAATAATTAGTTTTTTATTTAAGATTTTTAAGAAGTTTTTTTAAAAAAAAATATTATTACTTAATTAATTTTGTTTAAAAATAAAAAAAATAAAAATAAAGGAGATATTTTGATTTATAATATAAATGAATTTTTATATTAATTTTAGCTATATTTAATTTAATACGATATAAATTTTTATAAATTTATTATTTTTATATTAAAAAATATTAAAAATCCTTAAATTTTACCATATTTACTTTTAATATAAGAAACTTGATTATAAAAATTTTCCATTTTTATATTTTATTATTTATAATTAAGGGAAAAATAAAAATAATGTAGAATTTTTTATACAATATGCAAAATGATATAATGTTTCTAATTAAAATAATATTTTATATCAATTACATTAATATTAAATTATCATATTTTTTTAGTTTAATTATAATTTTATTTGTATTTAAAAATCTTTATTTATTTATTTTAGAAAAAATTTAAAAGTTTAAAATATTTTTTTTTAATATTTGTACAATATATAATTTTTATATTTGCAAATATTGTTTGTCGCACTGCATAATAATTTGTTAAAAAAAAAACAAAAAAAAAAATATAAAAACAAATATATAAAAAGAGGTAGTAATAAAATGATTAGTTATAATTTTATATCTAAAGAAAATGAAAATAATTTAATAAAATATTAATATAAGGGAAGAGATAATTCTATTTTATATAATTACGTATTTGGACCTATAGCTGAATCTTGTTTAAAGTATAAAAATATAATTGTTAATTAAATAAAAATGTTAAAATATTATTTTTAAAAAAAATAGATATCTTCCTCCTTGGGTTTCGTAAAAAATATATTAAAAACGCATTTATATAATACATATTTATATATTATATTAACTTGTTTTAAAAATAAAAATTAGTCCAAACACAGTATAAATAAAATGATTAAATAAATATATTTAATATAAATATAATAATATTAAAGTTAACTCTCTGTGGATATTTATGCGTAATTATTCCTCATTTAGTATTATGGTATATGTTTCCAAATGAATTAAGTGGAAATATACCTCGTTCATTATGTGCATTTATTGGGATAATGCATTTAATTTATATGGTAAAAAAATTTACACTAAAATAAAATGAAAAAAAAGTATTTTTTTGTTAAAATAAAAATAATAAATAATAGAATTTTGATAATGTAGATGGAAAATAAGCAAGAAAAACTGGTATAAATATAAATTTAAAAATGTAAATTAAATCATAAAATTAAAAAAAGGAAATTCATCTCCTTTAGGATTATTATTTGATCATGGATGTGATGCATTAGTAGTAAGTGTCTAAGGAATTTCTTTAGCTGCATGTATGGGTTTCGGAAACACTTATAATTCCTATTTAGTTTATGCTTCAGGGGCGATACCTTTTTTTATAACAACAATTGATGAAGTTTTTTTATTTTCATTTTCGAAAAAAGATTTGTAAATTAAAAAAAAAGTATTATAATGATTTTATGTATTTGCCTTGGATTAATGGAGCATCTGAAGGTTGTTTAGCTGTTGGTTTGTTTATATTATTTTCTGCTGCTTTTGGTATTTTTCTTTTTTAAATTAAAATAAAATAAAAATTAATAGGACCTTAATGGTGGGGTGAAGAAATTGTATTTGGATAGACTAAAAGATAAGTGACTTTATATTTCTTCTTATTTGCAGGAATAGTTACTTCATTAAATATGTAAGCTGTATTTTTTTCAAAAATATATATATTTTATTCCAAATTATAAGATTTCGCCGTATGTATAATAGCAAAGGTTTTAAAGTATTAAAATAGGCATTATATGATAGTATTTTTTCTTGGTTCATTCATGGAACTATTACTTATATTTTCTTTTTTTCCCCAACGTCTGTAAGCGAATAAAATACAAGAACTTTAATTTACATTAGCGGCTTACATTGGGCTAAATAAAGTGTAAAAAACATACAAATATTTTATTATTTTTTTACTAAAATAATAATATTTTAAGACTATGCTTCAAGCATGTCATGTTTCAGGATAAAAATTTAATTAATTAAGTAAAACTTCATTTGCTTTATTATCAATATTGCTTTTGAATACTGTTATTGGAAATTTTACTGGAAGATGTATTGTAAACGAAAACATTTTAATTAATCTTGTTTGGGTTTTGTCATTATTAAGTATTTTTTTAAAAAATATTTATTATAATTTTATTATTTAGATTATTCGTATATGATATTTTCTATTAGTAAATAACTTTGCAGAGTTTTAAATATTAGTGCTTTTAAAGTAAAATATATAAATAAAAAATAATATTGATAATGAAAATAAAAAAACTATATATACCATTTTTACATAAAATATATATTAAAATTATTAATTTTGTTTTATATTTAATAATTTTTATATTAAAAACAATAAAATAATATTTAATAATTATGTTTTATAAATAAATTTTAAAATAAATAACAATAATAATTATATATGTTATATTTTTTAAACTTCATAAGAGAATAAAAATAAGTTAAAAGTAATTTAAATTGAAAAATCATAATTCAACATAGATAATAAAAAAATCTAATATAATAAAAAATTTTACGGTTATTATATATATATATATAAGCATTAAAAACTTTTTTAGAACCTAAATATTAAATTTTTAAAGTTTTTATATAAAATAATATTTAAAAATAGTATTTAATTATTTTTTAAAAAAATTAAAATTTTATAAATTATAATTTATAAATAAGTTTTTTTATTTTTGAAATTTTTAAAAAACCTTATCAACAGAAAAAAAGGCGAGAAAAATGGCCTTTTTTTTATTGATTTTTTTAAAAAAATTATAGTAAAATTAAAAATCATAAAGCAAATAATATATGCTATTAGTATGTAACTTTATATCAAATGATTTTTTTCAATTCATTACTAATTATTTTTAGTTTTAAATTTTAAAAGATTTAAAAAAAAATATGTACTCGAAATTTGAAAAAGTTTGTTTATAAAATAATATAAAAAATTAAATTAAATTTAAGATTTAAATATAAGTTTAATAATATAAACTAAAGTATATTTTTATTAAAATTATCATTAAAATATAGGAGAGTTAGAAAATTTCGGTTTTTTGAGTTAGATAAGTTATTTTAGAGTAGGTTAGGCTTGCAGTTCTTGTTTTTCAGAATTAGGTAGAATATAAGAGGTTGGAAGGGATAGGCTAATAAACATGACATATATTATAGGTATACTAAGTAAGTTAAACATGTTATGCAAGATAGCAATGTAGTGAAATGTTAGCAAAGTATTTTTATATAAAGAAAATTAATTAAATATCAATAAATATTAAACATCATTTTTAATCATAAAAATATTAGAATTCTAATTTAAATATTTTTTATAAATAGATTTTATTTTTTATATTATAATTAATTAAAAACTAAAATTTTATTAATATATTAAACTATTTAAATAATTAAAATAAAAATATTAAATTATAAGAAACTAAAATAAGTTATTAAACAAAATATCTTCATCTACAATGTTTTATAAATATTTACTGAAAATTTATTAATTAAAAAATAAAGAAACTTTTGTAATTCAGTCTTCTTGACTCATCTTTATCTTTCCTAAATAAATAATTTTAAAAAAATATTGGAAATTCTCTACATACTTACTATTCACACCTTTATTAAAAAAATAAGAGAATTTATTTTTCAGGGTTATTTCTATAATTAATTACATTATTTTTTTTAGTATATAAATTAAATATAGATATAGCAATTTTTTAAAAAAATTTAATAATAATAGTAATAATTTTTTCTTTATAAAATTATTAAAATAATATGCCCTAGTTTTATAAAAATATTGGATTTAAATTAAGATTAAGAAATAAATCTGATAATCATTTATTTTGAAAGACATAATATTAATAATTCATATGTATGTGTATAATATTTATAAAGCTAAAAAAAACTATTATTGTATATTCATTATATAATTTATAGGGTATATTAAATAAAACCTATTTATCTTTATAAATTTTACAAGCCCTTAATTTTTTGCTACGTTAAAGAAACGCATTCAATTTAAATTTTAAATTTTAAATTTTAAGATACAATAAGCAAAATTTTATTTTTGTAAAACTTAAAAAAAGGTGTATAATGATAGTCTAGAGAATTCTAAAGACTACGATAAATTATTTGTTGTATCATCTCAATTTTATTTGTTTGGTCTCATGCTAAAATTCTAGATAATGCTAATAAAATATTTTTTTATTATTTTTTCATAAGATTTTAAATAAAGCTAATAATTGTTTGTATAATTTTTCAAGCCGTTAATCTTTAATATATCAAAAGAATGCATTTTATTAAAATATATAGATATCAAGATAAAATAAACTGGTTCTATGCTTGTAAAATTGAAAAAAATCTTTATCCATGCAATAAAAGAAATTAAATTTACTAATATATAGGTAGCTTTATTAAAAAGGTCCATATGTTTTTATTAAATTAAAATCTTAATTTTTATAAATTTATATTAAATAAATTTAATAAAATTTTTATTTTTCGATTAATTTAATTTAATAACTTCTGATCTTCAAAAAATAAGAATTTTATTAATTTTTTTGCCTTTTTATTTTGTTAATTGAGTTTTTTAAAAAATTTTAAAGTAACAATAAAAAAAATCAGTTCACGTAGTTCATGTGTATAATTTAAGTTTTAGAGTCTGAAGAAGACTCAGGAAAAATTGAAAAGTTTTGAATTTCTCAAATGATTAATTAATATTATATCATATTAAATCAAAGAGTAAATGGATTATTTAAATAATATACTAAAAGTAAAATTTTGTTTATATTGTAATAGAAATTATAATAAAATTACCGCTTTAAATTATAAAGCATTAATGAACTATAATTAAATTATTTAGATAATATAATCAAAGCAAAATTAGATTAATAAATATTGTAATTTTAATTTTTATAAAATATTATAACTATATAATGTTTTAAAATAGGTTATCAATTGATATTAATTTATGTTATTTTATTTAATTATAAGAGATGAAAAAAAAAAATTGATGGTAGTTTTTGATCAATAAAAGATATGATTGAAGAATTATATTAATTTATTTAAAATAAGAAAAAACAATTATAAATATTTATTATAATTTATTTATTTTTATATTAAATGTTAAAAATTAATATTATTTTATTATTTTGAATAATTATACTAATATTGTAAGATTAATTAATGTTTCATTAATAATTGGGTTGAAAGTGATACAAAAACAATTTATAATTTTAAAATTAATATTTTTTGTTAAGTTTATAAATTCAACTTTAAAAATAAAATTTCTTATATCTTTGAAATAAATAAAACATAATATTAAAAAATAAATAAAATAATAATATTAAATTTACATCAAATTTAAACATTACTGATATGTTAATATTTTTAATAAAACTAGTCCATAGTCATAATATCACTAAAAATCATTTAATAATGAACTTCATTAAATTTTTAAACTTCTTCAAATTTTAAAAATCCAATTTTTTCAAACAATTTAATTGATTTTTAATTATCATTTTTAATTTTAGCAATAAATCTATTTTTTTTATAATATGCCATTCCGAAATCCATCATAATTTCTACTGCTTGCTGAGCTAAACCTTGTCTTCTTGCTTATTTATCTGCGATCATAACATCTATTTCTGCTTCGTTTTCTTCAATATATGAATGAAAAAACAAATTAATATCTCCGACCATTCTATAATTATATGTTTCTTCAGGAAAATCATCATAATGAAGTTTTATATTTTCATCTTTTTAAAATATTATAAATGTATATTTACTTTCATCTTTCAGCCAAGATTCTTAATTTTATAGCTCCTCATCTATTGTTAAAGGTTCGCTTCCTGTTAAATATAATATTTCTTCGTCTTACATAAATTAATGATAAAGTGGAATAAATTATTTTAAATAAGGACAAAGTAATATTTTTGGAGTTTTTAAATAAAAATGCTACTTTTTTTAATTCATTGTTTTACTTTTTTTAATTAAAATTTATATAATTAAAATTTTAATAATAATTAAGAATGTCGATTAATCTTTTTTTTATTTTATTTGATATTATCTTATCTGATTTGATTTGATTTAATCTAATCTGATTTGATCAAATCTTATTAAATAAATTTTCAAATTTGATAATATTCTAATCAAACCCAAAAATAAATAGCTTTATATATATATATATATATATATATATATATATATAATGATTTAATAGAGGAATTTATAAATATTTTTTTTTTTTTACAATAGATAGTATATTTTTATATCCAGAAAAATCAATTTTAAATAATATATATTAAATATGTTTTTATAAAAAAAAGCCTAACAATAAATTTTTAATTAATTTAAATATTTTTTTTCTATTAATTAACTTACAGCTGTTTAAAGCGTATCATAAAATATTTTATTGAATATAATTAATTTATCAATTTAATTTATTTTTAACATTTAAGTTATATTAAGATAAAAATCTGATAAAACTATTAAATCATGGATACTATTAGTATTAAAAACTTATGAAGAGATATCAATTTTAGCCTATGGTAAAAGTCAATGAACATCTAATATTAAAATTAATATATTATTTAGAAAATAATTAATTGAAATAGATTAAGCAAAGCGTGAATATCCTCTCTGAAACCTTAATTCTGGAAGTATAGTGTTGCTTATCAATACACTTAAAAAAGATTCTTAATTTAATATGAATTATCTCAGAAAAAATAATGATGTTATTAATATATAAAAACAGAAAAATATATAATTAAATAATTAAAATTCTAATACATAATCATTAACTCTAAAAAATAATGTGCACTATTTAAAAGTTAAAAATAAAGTGATAATAATAATAATATAAAATAAGAAAAACTATCATTACAGTAAGAAAAAATCCCTTTGTTGAAGAATGATTCTAGAAAAAATAATTTATATTAGTTATAAAAAAATAATCTCAATTAAATCTAAAATATAAAACAAAAGTAGATAGATGAATATATTAATAATAGTTTTATTTATATTTTAAAATTTAATAAGTTAAGAAATTCGAAATACTGATATTTAATTTGAAATAAAATAATATGTTAAATTAATCGCAATTGATTTTCACAGCATTATCTACTTATTTTTATTTATAATATGAAGTTATATTTTATAATTAATTCTTTTTTATTTACTTATTTAGGTTTTTCAACTATTTTTATGTTACACATTGACTAAAAACTAAGAAAAATAGAAAAGGAAAAAAATATGGTTTTCTTTAAATAACTCTTCGGTAATTAATTAATAAAGAAGATTTAATAATAAATGCAAAAATAATTAAAATTTATAATTAATTAAGACACATTTATAGAGGTATAAAATTACATTAATTAATTTACAATATATTAGATAACATATAAATAAATGAGTAATAATTATATTTAAGATATTAACTAATATTAATAAAATAATATTGATATGATAAGCTTAATTATAATAATAGTAAGTAGTTATTAACTGAAATTCTTTGTAATCAATCAATAAAAATAAAATAATATATAACTAAAATTAATATACAGCTTAATTTATCTTTAATATAATAGAATGTATCAATTATAAAATAAATATGCCTTTGAAACGATAAGAAATGTCATTCTCCATATAATATGCTATAAGAAAACAGAAATAAAACTTTAGATAATACACAAAACTATAATTTTATAAAATAAGATAAGAACATATAGTAATAACAAATAAAAATTAAATAGGTGTAGAAATTTGCATTAGAATATGTAAGCAACTAATTATCATATATAGACATTACAAAAATACTTCGATAAAGCATAATTGAGAATTTAGAAATTTTAATACTTAATTATTCTAACTATTTTTAATTAATGTGGATATATCAAGACCTTATTTATAAAAAAACTTACGCAAAAGAATCAAAAAAATGAATCAATGTATTTTTATTAAAATAGCTTAAATATTAATTATAAATGGGGATTTTAATTAAAAAATAATCCCATGCCTAATCTTAATTAAATAACCGAAGGTAATTTTTTTAAATAAAATAAAGTGTAAATTACTGTATTTACACTGAAAAAAACTTATAATCTAAATTAAAATATATAAATATATATAGACAGATTATTATTATTATTAATTTATTAAAATGAATCTGAAATTTAAATTGAAAAAAATATATATTATAAGGCTGTAAAATAAATTAAATTAATTCATACTTCGTGTACAAGCCGAAGATTAATTAAAAAATTTTTAAGAGATCTTAAAATTTCTATAAATATTAAACAAATTAATAATTGAGTTAATCAAAATTAAATATTAAAATTATATATATATATATATTTAATTTAATATGATATTTTTTTATTTATTAGTAAATAATATCTAAATTTTTTCCATAATAATACCGAATGAATTTCATTAAAATATTATAAAAAAAAAAAAATATAAAGAAAAGAATTTTTAAAAATTATGGATGCTTTATAATATAAAATAAAGAAAACATGAAATAAATAACATAAACTTTTTATTTTTTGAAAACTTAAAAATTGTAATTTTTTGAAAATTACTTAATGCAGTTTTATTAAAAAATTTTAAATATAATAATTGAAAAAATTAATAAAATTTTGAAATTATTTTATATCATATGAAAAGTTGAATTAAAAAAATATATAAAAAATTCTTGTATTTTTTTTAAAAGGAAAAATAATAGAAACTTATTAATTAGAAATTTTTTATTTTATAAATTTTAAATAAAATAAAATTTTCATTTAATTTAATATTTAATTAAATATGGTCCAACAAGATTATTATATCTATTTTCAATATTTTTTTATATATAAAAATTAGTTGCCATAAACATTGCTCCAAACATAAAAACTTAAAAGTTTCTTGAGTTTTATTTAAAGAATAGTAAACTAGCGGAAATGCAAGTAACTCCAGACCAAAAAACCCCATAAGTAATTGATAAGGACTATTTTTCTTCGTACATGTAATTCAAAATCATTTGATCAGATTCATTTACATCTTAATTATGATAAAGTCGATTTAATTTTTTATCTTTAATACTTGCTTTTTGAATTTTTTATTATTATACTTTGGACATATTTTATTATTTTTTTATTTTTATTTTAAAAATTAAAAATAAATAATTTATAAATAAAAAAATTGTATTTACATATATAAATAGAAAATATGAATTTTAATATTTTATACCAAGATAAATTTATATAATAGAAAAATCTTCATGCTTTATAATCAACTTCTTCTTCAATCATAAGCTATTTAAATTCTTCTAAAGATATTTTTCCATCATTATTAGGATCTACTTCTTAAACCATTTTCTTAATTTCATTTTCTGGAATAATCCTGCCATTTCTTAGGAATATTTCTTTAAGGTCATGAATAGTAATATAATTGTTATTCGACTAATCAAAATACTTAAAAAGAGACCATATTTTTCTGATTTTAAATAAACAATTTAATCTAATGTAGCAGCAATAAATTCACTATATTAAATTACATGCTCTCCCCCTGTCTAACTTTCAGGAGAAACGTTTTTCACAATTCTCTCGATTTCTTCTTTGGTATGTTTAAATCCTGCTTATTCCATAACTATTTAAAGATCATTTATTTTTATAAGTCCAGTCTAGTTTAAATCAAATTATTTAAATGCATTTTTTAATTATTCAATTTCTCTTTCATTTAATTAATTTACCAATACTTTCATAACTTCGGTTTTAAACTTACTTGTTGTTCTAAAATTCTTCAATAAGTTTAATATTTAGAATCTACAGGATCTAAGTTGGCTGTTGAGAATCCTGCTGCTAATCCACCTGTCGTTCTTTAGATATTCTTCTTGCAAATTATAGAATCCAAGGATGCCTTAAGGCATCTGGAATCTAAATTATTTTCTTAGAATCTACTACTAGAAGTTTTTTTACTAAATCTTTTGCTTCATTTGATACATTTACCATTCTTTACCTTTTTTAATAATAATAAATTAATATTTATGTTTGTTTAAATATAACTTTCCAATTAATATTTTCCAGATTATATTTTCTAAAAGATTACATTTTTATTTTCTCCATAAAAGGGAGGATAGCCTACTAATAAAATATATAAAATAACACCCAATGACCAGTTATCACAAGATTTATCATATTTTCCTTTTAGTACAGCCGGTGAAACATACAAAGGTGTTCCAACCATAGTACTTAATTATTATTTATCGTCAAATTTATTAGCAAGTCCAAAATCTACAATTTTTAAATCACTATCTTTATTTTTTGTTGAAAAAAGGATATTTTCAGGTTTTAAATCTCTATGTACAATTCCTTTACAATGCATATGATTTACTGCAGAGAAAAGCTTTTCCATAATAAAAGCTGCTTCCTTTTCTTTAAAATATTTTCTTTAAGTAATACGTTCAAGTAACTCACCTCCTGCGCAATATTCCATACAAATATAAAAAAACATTTCGTCCTAATAAACTTCATAAAATTTTATTATATTAGGATGATCTAAAGTACGCAAAGTTTCGAATTCTCTCAAAAGTATATACTATTTATTTTTAACTCTGCTTTTTTCTATTATTTTAACAGCGACTTTCTTGTCATTATTACTATTTTCATTACTGCTAATTTTACAGTACCGAAACCGCCTTTCCCTAATACTCCTTAAAAATTATATACGTCTCTAATATTTGTTTAAGATGATAACATTTCTAAACGATGTTTTTCTTAAATAGATATTTTTAAATCATTTTTTATTGTACTAACATTACCACAACCCATTTTTTAATTTAATGAATTATTATTTAAAAATATATTTATTATTTTATGTTAATATTTATTAAAGTTTTTATTAAAAATTTTTATTTTTTAATAATTTGGTTAATTTTATTACAAAAGGTAACAAAAGGTATTACCTTTATATATTTTATTTATAATTATATTTAAAAAAGTAGTTTAAATACTTTTTTTATATAAAAAATAATTAATTTATTTAAATAATTATTTATATATTTATTTATATTTTGATTAATCTATTATTGATATTTTAATATATATATTATTAAACTATTATTTATTTTATTAAAAAATATATATATAAATATTTATTTATTTATTGATTTATTTATTTATTTATTTATTTATTTATTTATATATATATTATTTAATTTTATTATTTTTTTTATTTATATTATTTCAAAATTTATATCGATTTCATATGTTTTTTTTATTTATTTTTAATTGCTTTTTTTTATATTTAGAATTTTATTTACATTAATATTTTTTTTATTTTTATGTTTTTATAATATTTATTCATTCATTAATATTTTTTTTATTAATTTTTAAATAATATTACATTAGTTTACATATTTATAACATTTTATAAATTTTTTTATAAATTTAATTTTAAATTCATTAATAATGTAATGATATTTTATTTCAAATTTTATATAATATATTATTTTTTATATTTTATTTTAAATTTTTTTAATTTATATTATTTTTTTTATAAAATATAATTTATTTATTTTTAATCTGATTATCTAAACTTTATATTTTATATAATTTTATATCATAAATTTAGTATTTATCTTTTTTTTTTATTAACTGCTATGTGCTGTTTTTATTATATTATCTTTTAAAATATTTTTATTTAGTTTATTTAATTTTTTGATATATATATCATATTTTTGAATTTTATATTTCTATTAAATATAAACTAAATTTATAGAATTTTTATTTATTTTTCTATAGATATTATATTATTTTTTAAATCATATATATTATTATTTTTATTATTTTGACTAGATAACTTAATTATTTTCTTATTTAAACTGTATTATTTTAATTTGTTTTTATATTATGTTTATTTATTTTTCTTTTTAATAAAAATTTTAATTTATGTTTTTTCTGATTTCTAGAATTTATATCCTACAATTTTCTTTATAAATTTTATTTAATATAGCATTTTCTTATATAGTGGTTTTATCACCCGCATTTAAAATAATTATAGTTAAGTCTTAACTATATTTTATATGATTTAGCAAGAATAAAATATATGAAATTTTTCCCACATATGCTCTTATTATTTTAAAAAAACAAATTTTTAGAATAATTTCATTAACTAATTTTTAACAATTGTTAGTTATGTATACTTTCTTATCATCATTATATATTATTATTATTTCGTATTTTTTCGATTAATCTTAAATTTAAATAGTAGAATTTTTTTATTTTTAAAATATTTATATATTTTTATAATTTATTATCATTCTTATTATCGCTAATTCAAACAATTTTAATGGTTAAAATTATTATAAGTCTACATGTTTCTAAATATTTTTAGAATCTTTTTTTAATATGTATATATTTATCTTACTTCAAAAATAAAGAAATAAATAATTGAATTTTTTCATTTTACCTTAATAAATTTATAGCAAAATATACTTTGTTATAATTTTCAGTATCTGATTATTATCTACCAAAGTTTTAGCTGAAATTTGATCATAATGATATGCTTGTTATTATTAATTAAAATAGAACCTTACTATTTCTAAATAATATTTTTTTAAAAAATATTTTAATTATAATCTAAAATAGTAGCTATGCTCGATGGCAAAGCTAATTTTTATTACTTGTCACCTAATTGAATGAACTGTAAAATTTATGCCAATTAAACCATAACCAAGCAGGGCTAGACCGATAGTTTTTCTACTACAGTTGCACCAATTTCTTTATGAAAACGAATCGGTCCACGATCTGATGTGTCATGCCCTATAAATTCAGATGGTTTTCAAAACCATTCTACTAATTTGGTACCTTTTTGTAGTATTCTTGCTAGGTTTAAACCATATTAAAATTGACACTTTTGGGTTTCAATCATTTGTGTATCATAAACGGTCACCTATCACATCTAAGTATTTGAAAATAATAATAATATTTTTTTTTTTTTTAATTGTTAAAATAATTTCTTTATTAAAAATATTATTATAATTTTTATAGTTTAGATTTACTATTTTTTGACTTTCAAATTCAAAGTGTTTATATTGTTTATTGACATTCATATTATAGTATATTTATATTGATATATGCTTTTATAAATTTAATAATTTATTTATTTTAATTAATTTTGTAAAATATATATATAATCTATTAAATAAATTAAAATAAAAAAAACTTAATATCTTGTTTAAATTTGAAATACTAAATTAAAGATTTGTAAAAAATTATTATCTTTATAATATAATTTATCACTGTTCCTTTCAGAAACAAAATATTTCATTTTTTTTTTGAGGAGAATTTGACAAGTTGCTTTATGCTAATTTAAATAAGCAATTTCTTTATTTAATCAAAAAATGTTATATGTTTATAAAAATATTACAAAAAAAAATAGAATATTTACTTTATTAATAATTAAATAATAAAATAAAAAAATATTAAATATATGTAAGATCAAAAACTATTTTAGAGTTAAGAATTTTCAATAGTTTGCACATATCTAATTTAGAAAGGAGAAGGAGTTTTTCGATTAATTTAACAATTCATATTTGTAAAAACGGGGATTTTTTTAACATGCCCAAGTTAATTTTTACCCTAATTAATTTTAAATTAGCTAATATCATATTTATATATATTTCTACAGAATTCTTTTCTACCAGAGTTTTTTTTGATATTAACAAGACAATTATATGTAATTTTATTAAATTTTGTATTTTCGTATATTTTTTATTAATTATTATATACATCAGGACCTTCTTTTGGGCTAAAAACTTCTTTTCTTGGTAACTATGTTCTAAAAATTTTAACTTTAGTTTAATTTATAATATTTTCATTATAATTATTATATAATCTTTCAGTTAAATCTTCCACATTTTGCATTTAAAAAAGTGGTTCTCTTCCTTTAATTTTGGAAAAATCGATATTCTTTTAATGTAGTCTTTATTTTTCATGAATATCAAAGAATTCATTATTTTCAATTTGATTAATATTTTACTATATTAAGTTTTTATAAATTTATTAAGTTTCAATATATTTTTATTCTAAATCAATAATTTCTTCAGCTAATGAACGTTTATTTAATATAAGCTATTCTTTTAGATTTCGTTTTTTAGCTTTGTCTATATTATTATTTTAGTTTTTTTCCAAAAGATAAATTTCATTTGATATTTATGTGTATTAATTTTATTTTTGGATAATGTTTTATTGAAATATTTTCATTTTATTTATACTTTATCTTATTTTTAAATTGCAATTATTCCCAAAAATTATACATTCACTTGTAGATATTATTTTTGTATTTGTCTTTTTTTTATTAATAAATTGAATAAAGTATAACTTTTTATATTTACTTTTAAATTTTATAAAGGAGAAATTGTATATTTTTATGAAGAGGGAAATATTAAATTGTATTAAGGATCATGTAATAATAATAGCTTTTTATTTTTATATACTTTTTGTTAATTATTTTGCTTTTTTTCTCTTTCTTTGCTTCTGAAAGTTGAAGAGATTTTTAACTTATTTCTTTGCTGGGTTAAATAAAGATTTTTTATTAAATTTTGTTTTTTTTGCTTAAAATATAAAGTTGAGCTTGTTTTATTTAAAGGAGTTTCTAATGATTTTTAGCTTTTAATGTTTTTTTTATATTCTTTTTCTTTTTTATATAGAATAGGTTTCCTTTTTTGAAAAAACTAACCATTTTGAGAAAGCATTGGTAATTTTTAAAATATGTTTTTCTATAAATCGCTTTTTATTTTGAAAAAAGAAGGAGAAAATTTTTAATTTTCATTATATTATTCTTCTATTAATTATACTTAACTTTTTTAAAAATCATTTATATTAATTTCATAATTTTACATAAATTTAATTTAAATTAAAAAATATTATAATTATAAAAATAAATTATATATATGTTTGTTAATCAAGAAAAGTAATTCAAAAATTTACAAGAAGTCGAGTTTATATGTAGAACACAAGGTAAATTTTATGTTGTTTTTGAAAAAAACGTATATGATTTATATAATTTCCAATATTCACATCCTGGAGGATCATCAGTATTATAATAATGGAAAGGAATGTGTGTTGATGATATACTTTTTAATCCTTCTTACTTTCGTCACTCAAGGTTTATGTTGAATAAGCTAAATTTTTATAAGGTAGGTTATATTTAACAGGAATAATATTAAGAAAAAAAAAATATAAGATTAGAAGAAAATAAAAATAAAACAGGTTATAGAGAATAATAAAATGTTATTATAAAAGAAAAATAAACTTTTAAAAGTAATGAATAGTAAATAAAAAATTTAGATAATTAATAGATAGAGAAAAATTAAATAAAATTATAAAAATAGACATAGATTATCAAAAAACAAAATGAAGAAAAAAAATAATTAATTGAATATAAATAATAAATGGAAAAATAAAATAAAAATTGTATTAACAATGTATTTGACAATGAAAACTTTGATGTTTCTGATGATTATAATGATTAAAAAATATAGATTCCTAATATTATGTAATAAAAAGTAATTAATAAATATTTTTTTTAAGAATTACATAAATGAAATTTTAACATATAATACTAAAATATTTAAAAAAACTAAAATATATTTTTCATTTAGAAATAAAATATTGTCAAATCATTAAATATTTACCATTCCTTCAAAATAAGGATGCAAAACAGCCTACATAAATGAAATCCTATTATTAGGTTCTAGGACAATCATCCTATTAAAGAGGTCAGTAGCTTAAATGTCAATTAAATTAAACTTTAAATAACAATTCCTTTGTTACTTTTAAAACGAGGAAATTTATTTGACCAAAACTTCAAATCAATACAACCTCTTATAGATTAACTATTAACTGGAGTTCCAAAAAACTTGAAAATTTCTAAAATCTATCCAATCTCGCTATCTCCTTTAAAAAGAGGTTCTCCAAGTATCATCTCTGCAAAAATACATCCGCAAGACCACATATCAACTGGTAAAGAATATGTAACATCTCCAAGCAATACTTCAGGAGCTCTATACCATAAGGTTTCTATCTCTAAAGAAAGCTCTTAGATTGGAATGTTGAATAATTTTGCAAGACCAAAATCTGCTATTTTTAAAATTTAATGTTCCAAATTTACTAATATATTCGCAGGTTTTAAATCTCTATGCATTATTCTTCGAGAATGACAATGATCTAATGCATTTATTATTTAAAACATAAAATATTTTATTTATGAAGGATTCATTTTACTTTGATTAGTTTTTAAGTAATTCTTTAAATCACAATCCTCGAATTAAAATACTAAAAATAATTTTTAGCTTTTTTATTTTTTTTATAATGAATGTCTAAAAGTCTTTATTTTTAATACAGTATTTTTTATTTTCACTTTTTTATACTTAATTATGTTTGGATGATCTAAAGTTTTCAAAGATGCTATTTCTCTTAAAGTAGTTGATGGAATGCCTTCGTCTATTCTGTCAAGCTGTTTATCAAGCTTCACTTACTTTAAAGCAACTGTCTATTATGTAAGTAAGTTTATCGCTCGATATACTTTTCCGTATGTTCCTTCACCTATTTTTTATAATTTTTAATATTTTTCTTATTAATTCATTTTATTTTTATTTTTTGGAAAAATGTATAAAAAACTTATTTAATTTTACTAACTTTTTTTAGTAAAAAATAACTTTGAAATATATTTTATTAATTTTAATTTTAGAATTTTTTGTACTTAAAAACAGTTTTTTTAAAACAAAACATAAATTAAATTCAATAACTTAAAAGTAGTTATTAAAAAAATTAAAGAAAGATCTTAATAAATACTAATAATATAAGTTTATAAATATAAAACTAAAGAAAGGGTAAACACAACACTTTTTTAAAATATATTTTTATTTATTTTATTATTTTAATTAAGTAATAAAATAGTTATTAGCTTTATTTATATAAATTATTATTTATATTAATATATATTACTTAAATTTAAAAAATAAAAAAAATTAAATATTTTATTATTATTTATAACTTTTTAAATATATTATTCTGTTCGTTAAATTGCATATTAATCTTTTTTAGCATCATTTCATATAGATTTTTAGTTAATTATTAACATTTTATTAAAAGAAAAAAATTTTAGCTTCTTTGATATTTTATCTTTATTCTTAAGTTCGTTTTTTTTCAACAAATTATTGTTTATAAAAGCTTCAAATTATTCTATATTTATATCAGGACTTATACAAAGCAATACAATCCAAAATATCAATTTATTTTATTATTAAAAATATATTTATCTATTTTTTTTAGAATAAAAATATAATAATTTTTATTTTTAAGAAATATTTTTTTAATTTAAAAAAATTATTTTTATTTTACATATAATAAATCCTCATATTTATGCTTGTATTTAAAAAATCTATACATTAAATTACTTTAACTTTAAATAAAAAAATAGCTAAAAATTTTGCATTTTCAAATTTATAAAATCTTTAATTAAATTGTATGTTTGATTAATTTTTATTTTTAAAAAGATATATAAATTTAAATAAAATAATAAATATTTATGTATAAGAAACTTTTAAGAAATTTTTGTGTTTATTAAAATCATCCTTAAATAATAGAAGCACGTACAAATGGAAAGAATATTAAATATGACATTAATATAAATCTATATGATGTATGTATTTAGGCATATCTGTAACGTCGTAGAATAAAAAAATCAGAAATTCCACCTAAAATATACATATTAGATGCAATAGAAGGATTAAATTTAGAGTAATAAACACTTTCTTCTCTAAAGAAATACTATGACTTGGAAAGGATGAAAAAAATGTATGAAAGTAACACTATAAACTCTTAATATATAATAAGTAAATTCTAAGAATAAAACTTTAAATAATTAATGGATGAATATGTGTCTAAAGTAGCTATAGATGGATAAGTTGTAGAAATGGAAAAATATGAAGAATTTGAAAAGCTTAGAAATAAAGTTATTGATTATTATCTTTTATTTTTTTATGGAGAATAAGATAAAATAACTGAATTCGAAAAAAATATTTAACATAGGTATTTTATTTTTTTATAAAAAAAATTAAAAGTATAAAAAGATATTTCACTGAAAAGCTAATAAAATATATATAATATACACAAAGAAATAAAATCCTTTATAAATGCATATGGACATCATCAAATTAACGTGTTTTACATTAATTCAAAAATTGGTAAAAACGAAACTTTTTACTTTTTGATGATTTTCGCCCAATGTACTAAAGATTAAATATTTTCCAGGACATATCTATTCAAAAAGAATATAAATAAATATCAGGACGTATTTATACACTTTAAGATTTATTTAAACTCTTAATGGCGAAACTTTTTTAAAAAAGCAAACTAGAAACAAAACAGAATTATGATAATTTAATCCAAATTTTATTTTTGAGACTAGTCCATTACACTAACTGTCTTGAATTTACAGTTCTTATGTAAATTCCTCCTGACTTTCATATCGAGCATTCTATTTTAAATATTCATATTTGGCTTTTATAAAATAGACTTAATGAAATAAATACAAATTTGAGTAAATATTTAGCCAACTAACTTCTTAAATATTTCAAAAAATACACAAAAGAAAATATTTCTTAAATTCATATTAAAAAAAAGAATGATTTCCAATAAGATATAAATATTTTTATGTAATCTAATAGATAACTTTTTAATTAACATTTTAATGAAAATCCCAAGACATGCAATAACCATTATTTTAAGTTGGATGCGCTTGTTTGGAGTGCCATTTTTTATGAAAAGGTGCCTAGATATAGCGATTAAGTATATGCTATGACCGAATATTTAAAATAAAATTTCGATTATTTGAAACTTTGTAATTTTTAAGATTTTGTCTAAGCAAATATAGAATTCGATGTATACAGAATAGATGGAAATTATATAAAAAAAGTATAATAATTTTCTCCTAGATTATCCGAAGAAGAATTTTAGGAAGAATTACATTCAGAAAAGAAGAAAAAAAAATATTATTATAATTTTGATGAAGAAAATATTGAAGAGTTACCTATCAATAGCTAAGAAGGTACAAAAGAAAATAAAAAAATATCTGGTATTATAAATTCGATTTTTAGAATAGTTTTTAAATACGATAAACTATCAAGTTATGATTATGTTAATGATGTTAAAAATAACTAAAAGAAAACAAAAATAAATAAGATAAGTATACTTTTCATATCTCTCCAGAATAATAAGCTGAATTAGAATCTGTTGACCCTGAAGTTATAAAAAAGGTTAGATACGAATAATAAAAAAAAAATGAAAAACTAGATAATTAAAATAATTGAATTTTAATTTATGTTATTGTGTTTAACGAAAGTAATTTTTATTAATTAGCATTCATCTGCTTTTTTGAAAAATATCTTATCTAGCGGTTTTAAATGAAATTTTGCTTATATACCATAATCAACTTTTTTTTTATTTTAGTTTATTATTAAATTATTTATTTACAATTTTTAAACAATTGATTAGTAATATGAAAAATAAGAAAATATTTTAATCTATGTCATATTAAAATAAATAAATTATGGTATATTATTTTCAATTAAAGCCGCTAGAAAAGAATATTTTCAAAAAAGGGAAAAATGCAAATAAATGAAAATAATTTCTGAGAAATACAATATTTTTTTTTTAAGATTTCTTATTTTAAAATTGAATAAATAAAATTATAAAAGTTGTATTTTTTAAAGATATATAAATATAATTTATAAAGTCAAATATATTTTTTATAAATATTATGAAATTTTAAATATATAATATAAATGTTAATACAATAAAGTAAATAATATTATTTATTATATTGAGTTTTTACGGAAACAAATGTAGTGATATATTATAATTTTTATTTTGATTTAATTCTAAATCATTTAACAATAATCTTAACCAATTAAACTTAAATTAAATATATCTAACTATTTTATTATATGAATCGGATTTAAAAAATGTTTTTCACTGTTAAAAAATATTATAAATGGGATGGCTATAATTTACCTAAATATTTATTTTATTTAAAAATATAATATAAAAATCGAGTCATTGACTAGGAGAAGTTATGCAGGGCAGGGTAAATATTTTTTTAAAAATTTTTAAGCTTAAAAAAATTAGTTTTCACAAAAATAATAATTAAAAAAAATTGACTTCATTTATATTAAAAAAAAAAAAAAAAATTAACAATAAACATACTAAAATATTTTGAAATTTACAAAAAATATAATTTTTTTTATAAAGCGATGGATTTTTAATAAAAAAGGTTTTTATATTATAACCAAAGAGAGACTTTGATAAATAAATATAGGTATCATTTTAAAAATAATATTATTAAAATAATTTTTAAAAATTATATTTTTAATTTAAATATTTATTAAAATCCTAAAATTTTCTTTGTCTACATTTGTTATAAAAAATCGAATATAAATAAGCCTTTATTATTATTTATGCTAGTCTTTGATATATAAAGTCATATAAAAAAGAATTACAGATTTTTAATAATTTTCTCAATTTATTATAAATCCTATTTGATTTATTCATTTTTTTAAAAAGATTGATTTAATAAAAATCAATATTATTTCTATGATTGGAAAAACAAAAAACAAAAATTATTATACTAATTTTAAGAATTAGTATTTTATTTTATTAATTCAAAAACATATACTTAAAATTATATTTATAAAATTTAATAACCGCGCTTATTTTATAATTAAAAAATAGTAATTTTAAAATTTTAATTAAAAAGTATAGAAATAAAAATAAATAATAATAATTTTTTTAATTATATAATTAACTAAAATAAAAAAAATTAAATAAGTAATAATCTATTAAATTTTAATGGTTTTAATTAGTTTTACTAATATAGTAGTTGATGAATTTTCATATGGAAAATAAAATCCTCTAAAAAATTATCTGTACTTTCTTACACATATGCATTCAGGTAATAGTTTAATAAATTTTATTTTATCTATTAAAATTAAATAAAAAAAAGATCATTATCAAGGTCTATCCTAAAATTGGAACTATGGACCAATTTATTGTTCTAAAACGACAAAAAGATTATTATTATAGAAGTTTCCTCATTTAAAACGAGTGGTAAACTAAAAAATATCACTTTAAAACATATAATTATATTTATTATTTTCCTTAAAATAAAAAGATGGCATTAGATATGAATGAAGAAATAAGAATATGTATAAATGAATAAAATAAAATATATATAAGTGTATATTTATTTGACTCTAATCATTGTCCGGGTAAAATTAAAAAATAATTTTTTTATAAAAACAAATAGGATCTGTGATGTTTATGTTCGAAGGCTATTTTGGTCGTATTTTACATACAGGAGATATGAGATTTAGTTTAAAAATGATAGAGAAAAATCCAATACTTTATCCTTTAGAAAATAAAGATCCTTAAAAAGGCAGATGTTCATTATAAATAGATGAGTGTATATTTGATAATACATATTGTGATCCCGAATTCTAATTTCCAGATTAAGACAAAGCTAAATAAATGCTAATTTAAATTATAGATTAACACAAAGGAAATTAAAATTTAAGAGTCTTTTTATGTATGGATTCAATAGGGAAAGAAGAGATTTTTGTTTTTTTATCTGAATATTATCAAACTTTGATAGTAGTTAATGAACAGAGATATTAAACTATATTATGTATAAAAAGCCTACCTTATCAATATTTTACCACAAACAGAAATTAAGGATGGATTGAAATAATAAAAAAAGTAGACAGAAGAGAAAGAATTGCAAATAACCCTGATGCGATAACTATAACATGTACAGGTTGGATAAACATTCGAAACTACTTAACATGGGATAATATCAATTACGTAAAATAATATTTTATAATAAAATATAATACTTTTTATAGTTAGTTCCTTATAGTTTGCATAGTAACTTTTAAGAATTAGAATTATTTATTTCAAGTGTTCGCCCTTCAATATTAAATTAAGTAGTAAGAAATAGACCAAAATAATAAATTCATGAACAAATGTTAGGATAGAATAATACTTTATTTAGTCTTAAATAAAAAGGATTGATTATATTTAAAAAGAATTTTTTAAGTGAGAATACTATGTCGAAAGAATACAAAGAGTTAATGACAAATGGATAAAAATAAAAAGAGATTAATTTTCTTTTAGGACTTGAAATATCAGAATAAGAAAAAATATTAGAAAATAGTTTGAGCTTTTAATTCAAAAACTAATAAATTTTTTGCTAAAAAAGAAGAAATACCAAAGGTGCAAAGTTATCTGATCCTATTAAAAATAAATCTTTTAATGAAGTAGATGCTCATAAAGCTAAATTAAGTATTTAGGAAATGAAATAATAAAAAGAAAAGGAAGAAGATATTAATAAGTAGGCTTCATATTAAATTGTGAATAAAAAAATAAAATTAATTTAATCAAAATTGTTTAGCAATATAAAAAATAATTAAAATTTTATTTAAAATAATAATGATAAATCTTTTAAAAATACAAAAAATAATGAAAACTTTATTTAAATTAATAGTGATAGTGATAGTGATAATGAATGTGAAAGTGAAAAATAAACATAAAATTCAAATTTATAATAATAATAGCCAAGAAAAATATATAAGATTGATGAAAAAGAAATTGAATAAGATATTCAAAAAATAGATGAAATTAGTAAGTAAGAAGAAGAAAAAAGTCAAAATAGTCTTTAAAAAATTATACAATTTCAAAATAATAATGACAAAAATTTGTAGAAAGATAGAATTAAATATATTTTAAATAAGTATTTTATAAAAAATTGATTATATTGTTATTTCAATTATGTGATTTTATAAATAATTTTTGTATATACTTTAAAATATATTTAAAATAAAAATTACATGAATAAACATTTTTTACATAAATAAATAATTTTAAAATATAATATAATCTATATTTTTGTTTTTATAATTAAAATTGAATACTTTAATAAAGAATACAAATAATCCAATTTGTGAGCATCGCATTTTATATTTAATTTTTTTATTAGAAGACATTGATTTTTAATGCGATATAACTTTTTTCATCGTATTAAAAGATGTTAAAATAATAATTACACCAACATCCCAATATTAATTTTTTTCTTCAAAAAAAAAAAAAAAGTATGCTTCTTTAAAATTAAAATATATCTTTTATATTGCATAATTTATATTCTTAAAAATAATATTGATTCTAAAATATAAAGACTAAAATATTTTTTGTTTTTTAATGAATATTCCAAAAAAGTAATAAATAATAAGTAAGTTATATATAAATAAATAAAAGTATTTATGTATGTTATTTTATCAAAATATTAATTAAATTAATTTTAAAAAAATATAAATATTTTTTAAAAAAATTTTGTTTGCTTTTGTTTTTTTTTTTAAAAAAAAAAAATGTTTAAAATATTTATTTTTTTATTAATAATTTAATTTTTATTAAAAAAAGAATTACTATAATAATAATATTAATAACCTTCTGGATAGAAATGCGATTAAAATTGCTAAGATTGTTAGTAAATTACAAATTAATGTACTAAATGTAAAGAAAATTTTTAATTATCTAAATCATAAAATATTTGTGTAATTTGCTCTAAAAATTTATAATATTATGATAGTAAAATTTAAGATTGCACATATATTTGCTCAGATTATTAACTAAATTTTAATTTTAAATGTATTTAAAGCTATGAATGCCCATATATAAATTATTATGGCTATAATTAATTTACAAGGCAAAGTAATATTTTACTAACATAAAAATTGATAATTTTAGCAGGATATTAAAATTAAGAAACTTTTGCTGGAGAACTTTACGAATAAGATGGCCGTTAATAAGGGAGCAATTTATTAAAATTTTTGAATAGAGAAACTTTTTAATATATAGGAGAAGTAGAATAACACCAAAATCAAATATTTTTAATTTAAAACGTTTTATTTGAAAATAATAAATAGGAAAGACTTTTATCACTATGTTAAAAGCTTTTAATTATATGGGATTTAGAATATTTAGAGATAATTTAAATAATTAATTTGGCTTAAAATGGCTTTAAGGCATAGTAAGGGATATCATTTTTTGATATAAATTTAATAATATAAATTCCTTTATTGAAAATATAAAATGATAAAGAATTTGGAATATTATAGATTAGTTTAAATATTAAAGACATAAAAAATACCGCATAATATAATTACAATTTTGTTGATTCTTATTAAAGTAATTAGAGAAAAATCATAAATACAATATTTTTTTAGATAATGATATATATTCATCAAATGAAGATGAAATACTTTTTTGGTCTTCTAAAAATTCTGATAATAAAACACTTTTTAAATTCAACTAAGCAATTAAATAAGTATATTCAATAATCATATTTAAATATAAATATCTTGTTATATTGCCAGTTTAAAATATAAATTACTAATAAATTATTATTTTATGCAATTTAAATTCATAATAAAATTGCCAAAATTAAAGTTTATAAATAAATGATAATTAAAATATCATTCAATTATAATTATTTAATGAAAATAAAAATTTCGTTATTTATTGTTTAAAAAATATTCATATGTATGAATTCTTACTTAATAATGTTAATATAATTTCGATAAAAAAATAGATTCAGTTAATTTTGATATTGGAACTATAATATATTAAAATATTTACTAAGACTAATTTCTTCTTATTATTAACTAAATTGGAGAAATTTTTATTTTTTAAATAAATTATATGAATTTTTAGTTTATAAAACTGAGATATAATATAAATTTTGAAGAAAAACAAAATATTTCAAATGTTTTGATTGATTTTAAAAATAATCAAATTTATGTAGCCTCTTAGTAAATATTCGTTTTGAGCTTTATCTAATAAAATGATTAAAATATATAAATAGAAAAAGTTAGAATTATAAAAAATATCGCTAAATTAAACAAGAAAAAGCATTCAAGTAAAATAAATGGTATAATTATAAATAATAGTTAGATTTTTAATCGAATTATTTCTTATTCAGATGATGGTTCATTTTGTATTTACGAATAATCAGATAAATAATTAAAAAACTAAAATTTTAACTAATATTTTAAAGTTTTAAACTAAATTTATCATCCAGATTGTGATATGATTATGTAGAATAGTTGCTATCATAAATTAGCAAATATGATATTTTTGGAGAATTATATATATTTATCAATTTATAAAAGCTTAGAAGAAAGCACTATTATTTTATGGAAATAAGAAAACTTTTATTTCAATTAATAGATTCCTGTAATAAGATTATAAAATAAAATATTAAATATAGAAAGCGTTTTTTATTCTTAAAGTTTGAGCACTATAACTATCTGCAATAATTCTGAAATAAGACAAATAATACTTAATTATGTTGACGAAAAGTAAGAATTTTAAAATACTATTTCATATTATCTAGAAAATATTTAATACGCCATAATAGATAGTATAAAAGAAAATTAATAAATTATGATGGTTTTACGAAAAATTACTAATAATATTTGTAATAAAATTAGTACTACATCTAATTTTGATTTAAGTAGCTTTTCTTATTGTTAATCATTCTAAGGAACTATTACTTATGTTAAATATTTTAAAAATATTAAATTTTTGGTTTTTGCAAATAATTAAAATAGTATTTATTTCTGTTCTCTTAACTTTGATTTAAATTCTTAGTGTAGTATTTTAATTGATATAAACTAACCCACATCAATTGCAATAGCTGAAGAAACATTTAATATTATGGTTTTCTCAAGAGATTTGTCAGTTTCTTATTTTATAAGTAATTCCTCTTTTAATATGTTTCGAAAAAGTCGTTAGTTTAATTTTCCTTCAATCATTTATAATTCTTTTGGAATTAACTAACCAACTGAGTTATTTTTTTTTTTTCAAAATACGGAAATTTAAGAAATCAAAAATTAAGTATTTTTTTAAAAAAAGAAAACAATAATAATTACTTATTTTATAAGATTTTAGTTACTGGGCCAGATCATGATTATTAATAGATTGTTTCTTTTGAATAAACCATTTCATGCATAAATGTGGATTCTTTAGATTCCAGATTATTTATTGGATTTGATAATGGTAATATATATTAAGGCCAATACAGTATAAATTATTTAGTATTTTCGCAAGAAAATCTTAAATCCAGTTTAAAATGTATGAAATCAAAATACTCCGAATAGTTGAAAAGGATATTTTGTTATAATTTAGTATGATATTTATATTTCTTTCATTTAATAAACTTTATTTATATTTTAATTTTTGTTTTATTAATAAAGGATATTTAATCATTTGATTTTCTTTCATTCGCTTTTGATAAATTATACAATAACCGTCATAGTTATCGGATAAAAAACATAATAATTGATGAAAAAAATAATTAGATGTTAAGCTATAGTCAATTAGAAGATTTTTTTGTAATTTGGAATTTACATACCAAAAGTTCTGTTAAAATAAATACAAATTAAATCAGTTTTTCAGACTTTTATTTAGATGTAGAAAATAATAGAATATTAGCATTTACTTGGACTTAATTAATTGTATAAGTTTATGGATATACATCTCCTCTTCCATAAACATTTACTTGGGATACTTTAAATAAAAATTTAAATAACGATATAGATGAAATTTATAAAGAATATTAAATATTAAATTTAAAATGTGCTTATGAGGGTGGTGGAGTTTTGTTTCTAACTGATAGTATAAATTAGTTTTGGGCATATAATTATGTCACAAATTAGTATAAAATTAGATCTAATTTAGATTAATTTAATATATTTAGTGATAGCTTAACTAAACTAGTTTACCTTTAGGTATAAGTATTGTCAACTTTTAGACTTGAAGTTTTTAATTTCAAACTTGATTACATAAAATAAATATATTATAATTAATCAAAAATAATATAAATATAATTTATTGGTTAAAATATGTTCATTCAAGAGACAACTTAAATAATAGTAGTAGATAGAAATAACTAATCCTTAATAAGAATTATTTCTGTTACGAATCCAGTTATTAATTAATTTTTAGTTTCATATAAAGATTAAAAAGTGTTCGTTTGGAGTGATTCCACTTAATAAATATTAAATACAATTGTAGGTGTTTATAACTTAGTAACAGGAGAAAAAGAAATGGATGTCTCATTTTATTAAAATGTTGAATAAGGATATATTTATCAAGTAATTTATGATGAAGATAATTATTAACTTATAATTTTTAAATAATCACTTCTCAATTATATATATGTAGTTGATATTAAAAGTAATATTTTTTATACTGCTTATTATATGCTTTCTGTAAGATTTCAACAACTTCTACCATTTGAACCGTTTGAAACATATCTAATAAAAGAGTAAAATTTACTTGCTTTTAGAGATATAAAAGGATTAAGGTTTTTAATTCTTTAAAAAAATAAATATTATTTTTAATTAATTTTAGAATTATTTTTATAAAATATAATTTTTTCTTTATAATTTAATATTTTTATTTTTTTGAAAAAAGCATTTATTAGTTAGAAAATTCGATGAATATTAAAAACAAGTTTTAAAATATAAATGATTAAGAAAATTTAGATTATTTTAAAGATCAAGCAGGAAATATATTTTATATTGATAAAGATTATAAAGGTTGGTATTTTTATTAAGAAGATAAGCAATTAATTTAAAAGGAATAATTTAATACTGTTAAATATAGCAAATAATTAGATAATTTTTATTATGTAATCACGTATGAATATATAAAAAAATTTGACCTTTAAGTAAATGAAATCAAAAAAATAGAAAAATTTTAAATTATTTAAGAATCTATAAATTTTTTATGTAATGCATTTTTTAAAATTATTTATTTTATTAATTTTCCAACAAACAAAAATAAAATAATTTTTTTATTTATAAATTATACTTAATTATTTTTCTACATATAGGTATTATACACTGTTAAAGGGAGAACATACAAAATATATAGGTTTTTTAATAGATAATTAGTATTTACCGATAAATATTTATTTGCAGAAAACTTTTTGAAAGAATTATATTAAATTTCTTTAGATAACTTTCAATGTACTTTAATTAGAACTTTCTAAGCATTTGTTAAATAAATTATTTCAGTTTAAGATTATTAAGAAATAATAATTTTATTATTAGATAACAAAATAATTAGATATAATTATTAAAGCTCATATTTTTTTAAAACAATACAGGCTAATATTTTCTTAGTTTTTATTTAAATTGATTTATAAAATAAATTTATTTTCCACTTTTAAAATAATGATTTAATTTTTTTGTACTTTTAATATTTACCTATTCCTTTAAATGATACAAATGATTATACATAACATTTTTAATAATTACCTCTTATTAATTATTCCCAATTATTTTATAGGTTTTACTAAATTTATACTGATTCTTAATATAATAATTTGTATTTAGTATGTGCATTATATAGTAATATAGAAGTAGGAAAAGAAATTCCATTAGTTTTAGTTTTTTCATATATTTATGATAATCAGAATTAAGGTATAACAATAGAATTTTAATAATTTTTATATAATCCGCAAAAAAATGGAAATATTAAAATTAATTTTATTGATTCTTATACTTATATAATAGCTCAATTTTAAATTATCTATTATAACAGGAAAAGTTTGTAATTCTTATTTATGAATAGAGATAATAAAATGTTAGAAAACATAAGGAATATTAGATATTTAAAACATGATAATAAAAAGATATAGTTTATGGATAATTCAAATAATTATAATTACTTTATTTTGAATTAGAGTAAAACATTTGAGTTATATTTAGAAACATAAGGATAAATATAATACAAGGTTTTTTCATAATTGATTTTTATGAATTCGATAGTTGATTTTAATTTAATTTAAATTGATTAAAATTATTTTCTTTTAAACTTTACCGGAATAGGAAGTGGATAAATATATTAAAGTAAATTTATAATTGCATAAAATAAAGGACTATTATAATTATAATAATGCAATAAAATGATTATTTAAAATACCTATTAATTTCAAGTAACTAACTAACTGAAAAAATTTTAAGAAACTTTATCAGATTTAAATATATAAATTCAATAAACCTAATTATTTGTAAATAAATAATTATTTTATTATTAATATTTTTTTTTAAAAAAAGATTTTTACTTTTAATAGATTTTATTATTCAAATTTAATTAATGATAAATATTATTAAGTTTAATATTTAAGTATGAATGATAAATAAATGAAACATTTATAGTTAGATGATTTTTTTTTTCAACGAATATTATCAAATTCAATTTAAATTAGAAATTTTTATTTTATTATTTCAGGATGCTCAAAAATAAAATTCAATCAATTAATAAAAAAAATAACTTTATCAAATATAAAAATAATAGGTATTGGCAACGAATTCACCTTAGAATTTTCTAATATGCAATATGTAATATTAGAAAACATAACTATAGAAGGTACTGAATTTTAAAAAAGTAAAATATTTGAATTTATTTAATGCGAACAAGTACATATTATAAATATGACAATAAAAAATATAAAGTTATTAAATGATTCTCAAATATTTAAATTCTTTTAAGTTTAATATATATACATCGAAAACTTGTAAATAAAAGATGTTATAATCCCATACTTAGTTGAATAAAAATATATTATTTTACTTTAAAATATTTAAAAATCTTTTAATTTAATAAATTGTTCATTTACTAATATTTAATCATAAATATCTGATATTTTATTGATATAATCAGAAGGTGCAGCAAAGCAATATTATGATAATATTTAATTTATAAATTCAACAAAAATTTCATTTCTTAATTCTTATAGTTATTATAAAAATAATTTTATATTAATTAGCTTGAAAAATTCTTTTGTACTTATTCAAAATTTAATAGCTTTTAATGTTAATTTAAACAATTATTCTTTAATACAAGTACAAGCTAAAGATATATAAGTCAAAAAAATTAAAGTAGATTAGGTTGATTGTTAATCGTGCATTGGTACAGCTCTTTAAATATATTCTACCTTATAAGTTTTTATTTCTAATTGCATTTTCAATTCTAATGTAGGTTTAAATGGTGGAGCTTTAGCTTTATAAGATTGTACCTATGATTTTTTTTATAGTAATTCAATATTAATTTAAGAAAGTATATTTATGAAAAATACCGCATTAGGTTATGGAGGTGCTATTTTATTGGAAAATAGTGACGCTTAAATTGAAAATTGCATAATATAATATAATAAAGCATAAATTGGGGGAGGTATAAGGTATATGGGACTGTAACCTTTGTTTATTACTTAAGGAAAATAAAATACTATAAAGGAAAATTTAGCAACTATTTATGGAAAAGACATATGCTCATATCCTGTAATGTTAAAACTATTTTCAGATGGTATTCATTAAGTTTAATATGATAAATATTTTTTTTAAAATGATTAAACTATTAATACATATACACTTGATAACTTTAGGAGTGGAGGATCTTTAAATTTAACAATATAAATTTTAGATGAAGAAAATAATCCTTTTATTTTTGATATGGATCTTTTTAATAATTAAAATGGAGGATATACTAAATTTATATAAGAAGAAGTTGCTAACTTTAAAATTAAAGCTAATCCTGCTAATGAAAAAATTAAAATTTTTGGATAATATTTTACAGATTATACAAAATATAATTAATAAGACTTTACTTTTTCAATTAAAGATATGATGATTATTTCTGATCCAAATTCATTTAATTATATATAATTTGAAACCACGGCCATATAAAGAACTATAAAAAACAAAGATAGAAATATTACTTAAGGTACTTTAAAAATATAAAATATTATTACTTATTTTGATTAAAAAAAGGACCTTTTCATGTTAAGCTTAATATATAGTTTAGAGAATGCATTGAAGGAGAAGTATACAAATTAAGTGGAAGTATATTATATTGTTAAGAATGTAGTGAAGGAACTTATTATCTATAAAAGCCAGATAAAGGTTTTTTATTTGTTTTTTTTAAAAAAAATAAAATAAAAAAGAATTATATTAAACTTAAATATGCAAAAGATGTCCGCAATATTCTTAAACATGTTTTCGTAATAATATATAATTAAAAGAAGGTTATTGGCGAATAAATAATTAAACAGACAGTATTATTTATTGCAAAAACAGGCCAACAAATTGTATACCTGATGAAAATTCAAAATATTGTATATAAGGCAATTATGGCCCATTATGTGAAAGTTGTGATATATATGGTAATTTTTGGGATTAATAATATTAAAGTGATGGCAAATATGGATGCTTAAATTGTAATAAGCTTTAAAAAGTTGAATATATTATGCCAACTATTTTAATTGTAATAGGAATGGCTATTTATATCTTATTTTCTATCAGAGTTTCATTGCTTGTTAGTAGGTAAATCATTCAAGGGTATTATTTAAGAAGATTAGGTATAATAAGTATTAGTAAATCAGCTTTTGCAGATAATACTAATATGAATATGAAAGCTATGTTGCATTACATGCAAATTGCTGCACTAATTAATACTTTTGAAGTAGAATTACCAATATTTATGACTTTTTTTCCCTAATAAATCGGTTCTTCATTTATTTTTATTATTTATCTATTATTTATTATTTATTTATTTATCAAAAGGGACTCCTGTTTAAAATATATTGTTTTCATTTGATTGTTATTTAAATAAAGCTTAAGAGTCTAAATTTCCAATTGTTTTTGTAAGGACTTTATGGTCTTTATGTGTTCCTTTATTTTATGTAATAGGTGTAGGATTCATTTATTATACATTAGTTTTTTTTAAGTTAACTAGATATAGCGAAGTTTTTATTTTTATAATAAAATAAATGTTTTATAATATTTATAATATATATAGAGTTACAGTATGAGCGGGTTAGTTTTCTTAATATTTTTTATGTAACCTAATATGATTTAAAATTTACTTAGTGTAATGTCTTGTAGAGAAATCGATAAAAAAAATTATATACTTTCAGATATTTCTTATTCTTGCTATACTGATATACATATAAATTATATTATTTTTATTTGCTTACCTGGCTTATTTTTATGGTTAATAGCTCTGCCAGCATACTTTTTAAGAAATTTAGTTTTAAATAAAGAAAAATTAGATTATGCAACTATTAGACTTTAATATGGTTTTCTTTATTAAGATTACAAACAAAATAGCTATTATTGGGAATATATAAAAAGTTATAAAAAACTTTTAGTTGTTATAATTTTAAATTTTTATGGAGAACCTTATAGTAAAATATTTCTTTTTTTATTATTTGCTTTAATATTTTTTATAAAAAGCAAATAAATTAATAATTATATTAATTGTTTTTTTACTTTATTATGTTGCTTTATCTAAATTTTAACCTTATTAAATGATTTACTTTTAGATTTTAGATAAAAATAGCATTGTAGTTATTATTATATTAATTATTATGAATATATTTTTATATAATAAACCTGATATAATTTAATAATAATTTTTTTATATTTTATTACTTATAATACATAATGGGTATTAATTGTTTTTAATAAAAGAAGTTGTATTAGCAAAATTAAATACTCAATATTTGAATTAATTTAACTATTTTAAGAGAAAAATAATATAATGTTTTCCAAAAGCATAAAAATATATAAAAATTGTTGATAAAGTTTCCACTAAAACATTTAAAAACTGGAAAAAAGTAGTTTTCTATTTAAATGATTATATAGAAAAAATGAAATATGGAGAAATTAATAATGAAACCAATTTCAAAATTCAAAGAATAGTAATAAAAGACCATAAGAAATAATTTTTAAGTAAAAGAACACGATAAAACTAAAAAAGTACAATTACAAATAATCAAAATATTTAAAAAATTAATTTGAAAGACATATCAAAAAGTAAAATATACGTAATATAATATATTTAAAAAAAAAAGTTTAAAATGATTAAAATGTTAAATTAAATTCATATCTTTAAATAAATCAAAATAGTTCATTAAATAATATTTCTGTCAAGCACATAAATTAAGGTATTTTTTTTTCTTTTTAAAATTTTTCCTTTATGAAAATAGGCTTAAACTCTTCAAAATTATAAAATGATTAAACATCAATTTATTTTGACAAATTCGGATAGTCAATAAAAAATTAAAAATAAAATTTTCTTTTGAATTAATAACAGAAATAAATTTAAGAAGTATAAAATTCAAAAATATTGTAATAAAAATTGCAATAATATTAAGATTAGCATCTAGAATAAATTAATTAATAAGGTTTAAAATAAACTAATGAAAGTGCCTAATAATACTAAAATTTGAAATTAGAATATTTATAAAATATTACAGACAATAAAAAAGTAGAGTCTGAGGAATTAATAAACTAATAATAAAAATTAAAAAATAACTAAAAATATGTGAATATATAAACACCTTAAATAAACTAGATTTAAGTATAATTGACTGAAAAAAAAGAAACATAAAAAATTTAAAATGAAATTAAAATAAGTAAAATATAATCATAAACTAAAATGAATTTAACCAACAAGTAATATATATAATAAGATTATAATATATATATTTTAATTTTTTATATAATACATATTTAATTAGTAAATAAGCAAACTTTTTAAATACACCTATGATAAAAAAACGAAAATCTAATGGAAATAAATAAATAGAAGAAATTATTAAATAAAATATAAATAATAAATAATAAAATTTTAAAATAGAATCATCTAAGGAAATAAAAAAATAAGAATTGAATTAAAAAACTTAAAATTAATCAAATATTTAAAAAGATTCTTAAAAGTCTAAAATTATAGAAAAAAATAAAAAATAATATTAAATTGATATAAATTAAACATATAATAAATAAAATAACTTGCAAAATTTAAATAATTCAATATAAAATAATAAGATTTAAAATACAAATTATCAACTCAAACTTGGAAATAATAATTAATAAAATAATGATAATTCTATTTAAAAAGGCAACTTTATTATTTAATTAAAAAAATAAGAAAATAAAAAAAATTGATTTAAACAAATCTATATACTATATAATTTGACCAAAAATAAATTAGTATTTATAAAATATTAATTATTTATAAATAAGACTGAAAATTTACTATTTATATTTTTTTATTTATATTCAATTTAAAATATATTAATTTATTAATATATTTAATATTAAAATATCTTTATTTAAATATTAAAATCATAAATGATAAATAAAAATAAAAAAGATAAAAATCTTCCATAATTTACAAAGTAATTCATTATAAAATATTTATTTTAATGATTTGATTATAAAACAAATAAAGAATAAAATCTGAAAATTACGAAGAAATCTTATATTGCGAAATATGCAAATATACCTGTAAGACAATCCCTCTTTTTAATCGACATTTATAAGAAGATTAGCATAAAAGCGTATATTTTTTTTCACCCAAATAGAATATATTAAAAAATAGATTATATTAATAGTTTATATAAAAGTTATCAGATAAATTATAGGAAACTAATATAATTGAAAATTTATTAAAAAATTAAAATGATTCACTTTTATAGAAAAGAAAAGCAGAAGTTTAATTAGAATAAGAAATCTAGTAATTATATAAATATATATTTATTATTTTAAAGTTTATAAAATAAAAGATAAGTTTAAAAATAAGAATATGAAGATGTCAAAAAAGATTTAGAAGAATTTAAAATTTTAAGAGAATAATTAGAAAAGGAACTCTTAGAAGCTTAAATGAAATAGAAACAATAGTGTCAATAAGAAACTAGTTTAATATAAAATGAATAAAAAGATTAAGAAGAATATTAAAATGATGATTATGAGGAATTTCAAAAAAATATATTAAATGGAATTGATGAAGATGATGAAGATTAAGAATTTAAAAATACTAAAAAATTATTACAAATTGTTAAAAATAGAAAAAAAAAAGAGAGAAATAATAATTATTGAAAAAAAAAAAAAATATGTTTATAGATTTTTAACATTAGTATTTTTTAAAATATGCTATTCAATGAAAAATTTATGTTATAGTTTTGAACTTTATAGTTTATTTTTATAAATTATATATAAAACAGTAAAATTGATGTATTTTATAATATATTATTAAAAAATTATTGAAAAAAATATTATTAGTCATTTTAAAATATGTATAATCTATTATATTTTAACATATACTTATGTTTATTTCATATATTTATTTAATTAAAAAATATATAAATGCTAATTATTTCATATTAAAAAACTTTCAATTATTTTATTCTGACTTTTGTATAAGATTTTTTATTTTACTAATTGTTATAAAAAGAAATATAATTTAATATTGTTGTTTAGTTATTTTAATATTTTTTTTGATTTAAAAAAGAATATAGTAAATAAATGTTAACATAAAAAAAATTTATGTTTTCAAATAATTAAATTTAATTATGAATTAAAGATTTTCAATAAAATAAAATAAATAATGAATTTTGGAAAAATTAATAAAAACAGTCCATTTTATTGTAAAAAAGATTAAAAAAAATTATCGAATCTCTCTACATTTCAAGAAATTCGAGAAAAAATAAAATTACTAGATAGTTTAATATCAAATACTTTACATGAATAAGAAAAGGAAGAGTCTATTTAGTTTGATAATGTACCATTAATGTTCGATGAAGATGAATTAGAAACAAATAATTTGTTTCGTTCATAATTTTTAAATTTTTTAAATTTAGAACTAAAATTTTAAGGTATGTCAATTATTTTTGAATAGTAAGATTATAATTTTGATAAAATATTAGAATTTATGAAAAAAGGATCATGTGCTAACTAAAATGAAAGACAATTTTTAACACTTCTATCTAAGTTAATTATTATAAAATATAATTTAATTACAGTTTATGATGAAGTTAATAACTATATTTATGGATTAAATTTTGAAGAAATCAAAGATAAGCTTAAAAAGTATTTAAAAATACTTGAAGATGAATAAGAATTAAATTTTGAATTAAATGGAATTTAATTATATAAAGAAATTACTAATATTGAATTGCAATGTTTAGTATATTTGATAGGAGCTCTATAAAAAATACATAATATAATTTAAAATAAAGTAAATAATTATATAAGTATAATATAAATAAAATAAAATAGGAAATTATACTTTTTGAGTTAATAAAGTTAAAATAATCAATAAATTTATGGATATAATCAATAAAAAGATGCAATTTAGACATAAATAAATACAAAAACTTAATATTTTTTATGAATTTTCATTTATTAATAAAATGTAAATTAGATTTTTATTGTAAATAGTAATTTCAGTTCTAATCTTTTTTAAAAACAGACTAATTAGAATCTAAAATTTAAAATTTAGATATCTCAAGTAATTCTCATATTATAAAAATGAAATAAAGAAAAGACATGAATTAGTCTATAACTAGCAACAGTATTGTTAGCGGTTCAATTATGAATAATGGATATAGTTAAGTAATTAAAATAAATAACTTATTATAAGATTAGGATGTTATTAATAAACTTTTGAATGCTTTAAGTGAATAATTTCCATCTACTTTACTTTTAATAGTTAAAAATATTTCTTTAAATAAAATGCCTAAGTTTGAGCAAGTTTACATCAAAAAGAACATTAATTTGTAAGATAATCAACTAAAATAACATATAGATATTTTATATTAAACATTCAATGAATAAAAATAAACGATTGAATAATATATAAAATTTTCAATTAATATTCCTAGCGATTTTAGAAGACTTATTTTTTATAAATTAGATGAATTACATTATTTATTATTTGAAATATATGACGAAAAGAATTTTATGAAATCTAATTAATGCATTGATTTTATTTCAACATTATGTGATTTATTAAAAAACAAATCTGTTTTAATGCTTGGAAATACAATTAATAATAAAATATAAATCAGAACCTTTTAGGATTTTGTTACTGAAAAGTTGGAAAAATATATAATTAATAGATCTTAAATTTAAAATTGATAATATAACTATAAAAAAGCAAATTTTATATAAATAAAAATATTTGTTTCGATTAAATTAAAAGTAATTTTTATTTTGAATAAAATATTTATTAATATTTAATTTTAAAAATAAAATGAACAATTTAAATAATTTATTTAATTATTAATAAATATAGTTAAAAAATATTATTATAATCAATTTTGATTTATATTATTTTATTTATTTTAATAAAAGCTAGATTAAAACTTTAGATTTTACTTAATTTAATTTTCTATTTCAATAAAATAATTTTAAAATTATATATTCTAAATTTATTAATTTTAATTAATATTAAAGTTAAGTAAATTTTAAATACTTTAATTAATAAGTTAATATTCATTAAAATATTATAAAGATAATTCTTAAACAATATTTTATTACTAACGGTTCATATTTTAAAACAATTACATATAATTATGATGCTATAAATTATTATTTAATTTAATATTTTATTATTAAATTTAAAATTATTGTTAATTTTATTATACTTATAATTATATTTATTATTTTTATTAAATACTTTATTCCTAAATTATTTTTTAATTATTTATTTACATTTAAAATTGATCTTACTATATTTTCTGCTGTAATTATTATTACTATTATTACTATTATTACTGTTATTACTATTATTACTATTATTACTGTTATTACTATTATTGCTATTATTACT